TAATCTAGACAATTCTACGGAATTTGACAATGATACATACATGGAAATAATGTTAAATTGAAAAATTATCAGGGTTGAACCCATTTTTCTCAGAGTAATCAATTAAAATTAAATTAGATGTAATCAAGATTTTTGCTGATTAATGAATAAATCTGACAGCATAAAAAAATTGTTATCGATTACAGCTGATTAAAGATTACAATTAATATTACCATATGCCTGACCCTGATATTTGATTTCATTTTATGTATTGAATATATAAGGATTTTTTTTTTTAAATAATTAGTTATAACTTTTTCTGTCATGGCTTTTTGTAGTTTATGTAGACAGAGAAGTACTTTTTTCACAACTACATGTACATAACCCCTACCAGTCAGGGTAATCCATTCCTTATTTCTCTACTGGGTCTATCCATAACCAAAAATGTTTTGCCTCTCTAAGAATAAAGGTCAAACTTTAGAAAAGTGTACAGACATAGCCCTACATCCAGACTGCTATGTCTACCACTTCTCTAAAGAGGAATAGCGTTAAACTATGCTACTGACCATATGACAATACTGATTAGATATAAGCATTGGGAAGTCAAAATGCAGCAAAACAATAAATACACAATGACTTGATTTTTCAATAATTTCCAAATGAATTACTGAATGAACAGATTGATTAATTCTACTGCAACTGGTACAAGACGATGAAATAGATTGATCACCACGGCAACTTCTGATTAGAGGGTTTTTGTTATTGTAAAATATAATGCTATAACCTCTATTGATTGCATTCATGCACACCGATGCATGAAAATTTTCCCTGCATAGATTAGATCTTTATCTTGCTTAGCAATTGATTAACCAGTATCCTTGTTTAAATCATTTTTTTTTTCAGAAATTCAATAAAAATGTAATTACCAGTAAACTTTTACACTGTTGATAATTAAAAGCATATCACAGTTCAAAAAAGAAAAGGAATCTTGTATCTATAAATAGAGTCAATTTACACTTTAAACAACAATAAAATCCAATACCTTTTTATGATAGTGATCCCATTCACTTCCACCTGTGTAAGATCACCTTCCATAATTCTAAACATAAAGTAATGATCAGGAACTAAAAATAGACCAAAAATGTACAAGAGGCCCATAGGCCACAATGCTCACATGAGATACCCTTTGAAGATTTTTAAAAAATTTTATTCCCATGAAAAAAAGACCCCATATTGTTTTGCTAACCTAGTCCCAAAGGGTCATCACTTAAAACCAAACTGAACTCTCATAACATGGGGACTCTGAATTAAGAAGTGTTAATGTAGATATGGCAAGAAATTAGTGCTGTCTTTTGCCTATGTTCAACTGTAACCCTGTTACATACTATTTAATCCAGTTAATAAATTATAGTGCTGACTTTTACCTATATTCAATTGTAACCCTGTTAAGGACTATTTAATCCAGTTACAAAGGTAACATATCTCTCAGTTTAAAGATGCAGATCATTTAAAACTCAGCAGAGTTCTTGTTTTTGAGGTTACACAGCTGACATTTTTAAACCAAATGGGTTGAGGTTTTTTTTAATTAGGTTACTCTGGTTACAACTATATATTTTTTTTTTATTATAACAGATAATTTTACACCCATGCATGTATTTTTTTTCAGGTTACATTTCTATTCCTTTAGTTACAATCAGTTACAAATGTAACAGATCATCTTTATCCCTAGGAGGGGCTTGTTTTTTTTATGGTTACACTGGTAACACACCTATATTCCTTTGGTCACAGTCAGTTACAATGGTAACTGATCATCTTTATCCCTAGGAGGGGTTTTTTTTTGAGGTTACACTGGGTACACCTATATTCCTTTGGGAACAATCAGTTACAATTATAACAGATCTTAAACCAAATAAGGTCTCTTTTTCTAAAGGTTACCATTAAATGGCCGTTGAGTACTGTGAACTGATTACAATGTGTAACCTACTCTGATTATCCTTTGTAGTTATTTGTCAAATTGTATTTTTAAACAAACATTGTAAATTAAGTGATAGTCCAGACTCAGTTTCAGTTTATGGTGACGATGCAGAATGACCTTGTGTAACATCTCGTCTAAAAATTATCACATATGTTCCATACTAGGCTTAGATATATCATATTTTACTTGCTTACCGATGCATTCAAGTCCTCATTGTTATACTTTGATCAATAATGTACAAGCAATTGATTTGATTTTCTATCTTGTCTTAACAATATCTCCATTGAATAATGTTATGTATGTACATTATACATGTATTTATGAGTAAAACAATACCTCAGTCTCTGTGTAAAGTGCTCAGATAAATAAATGTAGGTTTCCAGCAGTTGCATAAAGGCGCAAAGGAAGGAAAAACTATTGTTTTCACATGCAAGCATATCAATAATGAATTGGGCCTATTGACTGCACTAAATGACCTACCATGAGAAATGCTTTTCTCTTTCCATTTTTCATGATATTTTACTAACAAATAATGCACTTTGTTTGAGCTTGGGAGAGGGCTCAAATAGGCTTAACCTCTCAATGTATGCTATAAATACTGAATAAAATTTAAATCAAATTTATGGTTATTATCACCTCTGGTACTGTTTTAAAATGGTTTATTCATGTTAATATATATATTCATTCAATAGATATTTTATAAATTTAAGGGTGATATGTAAGGAAGAAAAACATACATATTTAAATGAGGCCCATGGGTTTTGATGTTTACATAAGTATCAAAAATTTTTCTTAATATCAGTTCAGCTTAACAAGGAACACTGGAATCATATATGACATGAATTTTACAATTTGATAAGAACTGTATGTGCAAATGCTTGCATGTTCTTAGATGATAGGATGCAGAAAAGATTTTTTTATACATAAGTGTGCATTTTAAATACTTGATCAGCTTAGTCCCACATGTGTGAGCTTCCAATGTCTCTCCATTACTAAGTTATGGCAGGGGCACAATTGCCCTGCAGACAGATGGACAAGGTGATTCCTACATAGCCCCCTAAAAATTGTATTTACAAATGCATGACTACACACAAACATACTCAGCATTCCAAGCTAAAAAATGAACAGTGTCCAGTATGTTTCATCCTCACAATGTCAGAGGTCCTTAGTCCACTTATGAACATAGGACCCCCACAACCTTCATTCCCTATTTTATAGGCTTGCTTCTCAAATTGAGAAGCATCAGTCTAATTGGGGCTTTCATAAGTGGACATCAAACGTAAACAGAAAGTAACGCTTTAATGCACAAGTTACAGGTTGTTTGTTTCATTGGTTCATTTCTATAGGAAATCATAGTAGAACGAAGTATTTGAAGCAGATTATTGCTGGAACTCTTCAGCGTTGGAGGTTTGAATGACTATGTCAGTGCTATGAAAAAATCAACAACTTGATTTTGGTTGGATTAAAACCTTAACCTTTAAAAGGTAAGAAACAAAAGTTTTATAGTGATAGGGAGTTAAAAGGATGTCCAAAGCAGAAAGTTGAAGCGGGCAGGGAATTCATTTCAGTCCGTATTGATCGAAACAGCGGTCGAAGTCCGGGTAAGATTTCCCTAGTCACTTTGTGTGGCACTGGTCTGAGATTCGGAAGAGACGTCTGTCCAAAATTTTTAGTCCCAATGAATCTCGCTGAGATTACTTTAATGGCCATTCAACAGGTCCAGTACAATCTCTTGATTTAGCTATATAGCTTGAAATAGCTATAAAGCTTTATTAAGCTATTCAAAATAGCTTGATTTAGCTATTTATATGCAGTTTTTCACAAAAAAATTTTTTGTAAGAAATAGACAAAAAGTCGCAAGTATTTGATTATTCATATATGTACTATGGGCAATCAAAACAACAACCAAATTCAAAGATAGTTATAACATTGAAGCTTTTGAATACTTTTAGTTTAGAGCAAAAGATGAATTTCCATTGTTTGAGTAACTGTACACTACCTTGTTTACGTGCACAGGTACTTGTGGACAGGACCCCCCCCCCCCCCCCCCCCAATACACCCCACAGGTCAAAAAATATTTTTATGTATTTTTTTCATAAATTATTCTTCTAGTACACATTTACAATGTATTCCATAAGAAAAATCCAAAAAATAACGCAGAATTAATGTTTTACTAAAAAAATCATACCCGCGGAATTATATAGCTAAATACCTAAAAGCAGGTCCAGCACAATTTCTTGATTTAGCTATATAGCTTGATTTAGCTATATAGCTTTATTAAGCTATTCAGAATAGCTTGATTTAGCTATTTTATCACACATTTTTCTTAAATGTGTTATTTTCTCAGCATGCACAAAAAGTCGTGCCTTGGTGCAGTGATAATTTTTAACTTTGAACTCTTCTGAAAATAATGCATGTAAAAATCACTCATCAAATTGTGTCTCTTTAAGAGACTTTGTACTCAAAGTTCTAAAAGTGTCAGGGCTATATAAAGCAATTGATACAGTTACTTCTTCATTGAAATTATAAAAGCGGCCAATTATGGTCAACAAGATAATTGATTGGTAATAATTCAGTACAATGAGAAGCAATCATACTTATCAAAGCCTCAACACACACAAGGTAGTGTACAGTTACTCAAACAATGGAAATTCATCTTTTGCTTAAAATGTTTTCAAATGCTGCAATGTTAGAACTATCTTTGATTTCGGGTGTTGTTTTGATAGCCCCTAGTACACATATGAATAGTCAAATACTTGCAACTTTTTGTTTATTTCTTACAATAAACATTTTTCTGAAAAACTGCAAATAAATAGATTTATCAAGCTATTTTGAATAGCTTAATAAAGCTATATAGCTTCTTCAAGCTATATAGCTAAATCAAGAGATTGTGCTGGACCTGAATAGATTGTAATCACAAACTTGCGTTTGTGGAAAAATAATGAATCATTTATTTATGCTTCATTCTCATCTTATCATGACAAATCCTTTTAATTTTGAAACGTTGTTGTATAGATATTAAAGATCCTTCAAATTCAGTACATACCCTGATCCTGAATCCGGTTCCTATTTTCTTTTGCTTCAACATCGACATTGACCCTTTATATGAGTTGTAACCGTATCTTACATCCCAAGTATAACATTCTTTAGCTGATCGTCCTGGAACAATACAATAAAATTGACGACAATATAGACAACTGATACTGATTGATACATTGCAAAATGTTTCTAAACAGACTAAAGGTAAAAAATTAATCGGAAATATCAAGGTGCTTGAGAACTCCCTAAACCAAACACGTGTAGAATTCCGGGTTCCAGTAGAATGGCACGATCTACATTTATATTATATGACATATGGCACAACAAAACAGAATACTACAAGTTAGATTGATGCAAAGCATCAAATCGGCCGTAAACGAAATTAAGCATTTAAAAAGTACTTTCAGAAATAAGTGTCCAAGGAAAGTGCAAGATTTTCAAGGTTGAAAAAATACACAAATAGTCAAATTGTAACACTGAGAAATAGCACGTATACATCGATTTGAAAAATCAGTGATAAGTAATAAGAATTGACATCAAAATGAAGTTGTAGGCCAATTTATATTCAGATATGGAACTCCAGATGATTAAAAGGATAAAGTTTCCACTATATATACTTATAGTCATACTTATTTCAATTTCTAATAAAATCAGTATGTAAACATAGTTCTATCAAATTTTCAATATTTATTCATCACTTTTTGCCACTGTATTTATTATCCGGAAAATTATAATGTAAATTCTATGGTCATTATAATGACCTTGATAGCAAAAATAACCTATCACTAGATCGTATTTTGACTGACATATTTCTTACCAATTGTTTTTTGTTTGTTTGTATGTTGTTTAACGTCCCTCTCGAGAATTTTTCACTCATATGGAGGCGCCGCCACTTGCCGGTGGAGAGCTGCAAATTTTGTCCTATACTCGACACTTACGGCCATTGAACAGTGAGGGATCTTTTTCGTGCCAGCACCTACTGCGACACGTGACCTCGGTTTATACGGTCTCATCCGAAGGACCGGTCTCCACGTCCCACAGTGGGATTCGAACCCGCGACGTAAGGATCAACTCCTTACTCCGCGACTCTAGAGCAGACGCTCTAACCACTGCGCCACGCGGGCAACTCATACCAATTGTAAGGGCCTCTGTTTTTATTCTAAATTTGACCACGGAATATTCCGTCTACCTGATCAATACATAGGGCTTACGGCGGGTGAGACGGTCGACAGGGGATGCTTACTCCTCCTGGGCACCTGATCCCACCTTTGGAATTTCCAGGAGTCCGTGTTTTATGCCCTTTTCTCAGATTTAAATTGTTTTATGCCCTTTTCACAGATTAGTATTGTTTGATTTTTTTTTTTTTTTTGGTTTGAGATCGATCACTGTCCGTTATCTTCACCTTTTTCATGTATTCCCAGCTTCAAGTTTGTACAAGCGATATACGGTGAACATGTTTTTTTTTCTCTCGTGCATTTAATACATTTATGGATTCTTATGTCTTTACAACTGATATCTTAAATATTTCTGTTTTGGTATTATGCCCCTTGTGTGTGACAGACACTGTGTGTGTGTGGGGGGGGGGGGGATAAATAGTCCTAGGTGGTAGGACAGATACAAGTGTAGGATCTTCTCAATACTTAAACATGAAAAAAAAAAAAGAACTGAAATAAATTAATATTTTTTTAGCACCTTTAATTATTTACACTTCCAAGGAAGAAAGATTCAGTGGTGGTCATCTGCTATCAAAGATGATTTTTAAAACTGAAACAACATTACACATCTCCTTCACTTTTTTCTTTTTTACCTTCAGTAGTGACTATTAGTTTCAAGTATTTCGGCCTCATGGTATACCGTTGATTTGCTTGAATCTCATTTACAAATCCAGAAAAATATATTATTTACAGAAAAATTAATTTAATTTACATGTAGCAGCGCCTTAAAAACTAGGTTATGATAAAAAAAAAAGTTAGGAAAAACAATTACATATATTTCTTATGAAGTAGTTCTGGATTCTGCATATATGTAAGAAGAGTTAGTATCAAAACAATGTTTTTATGAAATGTGTGATGAAAAATATTGGAAAACTATCTGAAAATAAATAAATAAATAATTAACCAATTAATTAATTAATTCAAACCTTATGAGAAGGGGGGCATTTATATTTTTCTTCCCCATTAAAAAATCGAATCGGGATCGGTGTACATAAATCTCAAAGCGAGCCCGCCAAAACGAAAATATTGCAGGACAAGGACTGAAGGAGTATAGATTTTGTTGTTATTTAAAAAGAAAACAATTATGTGTGGGAATTGGTGAGTGAAATATTCTGCTCATTTGCTAGGGTATCCTATAGTGTCACCCCCCGAAGTAGTTTAGTAATTTTATGAAACTGCGCTCTTCGTTTCCCATCTTGCATGAAGACTCAGAAGAGCTGTTGATTTGAGGTAGTGGACACTAGAAAAGAACATTGAATGTCCAATGCCCCCCACCCCCTTTGCCCTTGCCTTCCAACTTTTAGCATCTGAATGGTTTCTCTCTATATGCATGTGCAGATACTTGAGAAAAGTTACCAAAATAACTTACAGGAAGTGTCTATTGGATCGATGGTCGTGCCGGTTATTTTCATCCGCACGAAACAAGAAAGATAATTCCAACATTATATCAGGTTTAGCTGACATGTAAACATAACTGTTCACTTGCTTTAACAGTGCAAACATGTCTAAACATCAGCTCAAAAGAGGAGGAGATGGATTGATTGCATAGGATAAATAATAAGTTTTCTTGTGAAAATATGTGTTTATTTATGTTAAAATTGTTTATGTAACACGTCTGTTACTTACATTTAGTCATATTTGAGTCGAAGTGTGGGTCGTCACCGGTTCTAAATTTATACATTTTCCAGAATCAAAAATGAAGGCCTGCGAAGAGAAGTGGATGTAGGCGAAAGCCTGTCCACTTCTCTGAAGAGAATAGATAAATAACATTAAGGCATAACTTTGGGGGAAAAAAAGTTTTTAAAGACAGTTTTTGAAGCCCTCTTTTTCTAGCCTTATTTTTTTTTTATGAAACTGTAACTTAAAAGGGACCTTATACTTATGAACCTTTACATTTGAAGGAATCTTAGGTACAGACATGCATTTTCCGGATTTTGAAATTAAAAAAAATGGGTTGGCACATAAAATTTGGGACAACCTGGTAACCGAAACAAAAATATTTTTTTCTTGGGCCTTACTTTCTTCCTCTATCAGCTTTCAGATATTTCTAATGTTTTAATCTAAGCAATTAAAAAAGAAATCAAAGATGTTTTCTCTCAATAATTTTCTTTCTGTCATGCCCATAAAATATGTTACAAAAATTAAAACAACAGGCTGCTGGGTTTGACATCTGGTTATCAAGTGAAAAACAATAAGGATGACCTGAAATAATATAATAACAGGTATTAATGACAATTCTGTGGCCTCTACCAGTGATGGGGAAGGGTTTGCACCATGCGCCATAGTGGCATTGAGGTGAAAATTGGCACATTAAATCAACTATTGGTGGAGCCAAGGTGTGCATTCAATTTTTAGTAATGTTAGTTGCATAGTTTGCATACGACTTTCTTACTTGAAAAACTCTTGTTTTAAATGCATTCATTTTAATACAACAAATCTCCTTGGTTAAAATCAGTCAAAAACTGTTTCCTGTTATATGAAGCACTTAATGGGACAATAGAGGTACACTACCTCACTCATTTCCAATACTCAATCCAAATTTTGACATCATTCCAAAAATACAGATACATTATATTGTATGCAGGTTCCTTTAAATGTGCTGCACTGCATAAGTGAAAAATCTCTAATACATGTACTAAATAATCAGAACCAAGGTAAGGTATTTTGGTTTAATTGTAATGAATGAAATACACATTGTAATGAATAAAATGCATGTCTGAACAGTCTACTAAAACTTCCGGGAAAAAACAATAAAATATGTCGCAATATTTATTGCAATATGTTATCATAAATTTTGCATTATAGTGCAATATACAGTTGAACTTCTGTATCTTGAACACTGATATCTCAAATACCATTGATATGTCGAAGTGATTTGAAGTCCCAACCACTTATTCCTTAAGTATTATACCCTGGATATCAATCCTTGGATATCTATAAGTATTTTCTCAGTCCCATCAAGTTCGAGATAACGATGTGACTGTGTTTTTTCCAGTGATATCCACCCTTATTAAGCCTGTCATGTGAATAGCATCGGTTATAATATAGCAATCTGCACAACTGTCAAGCAGATGGCATTGATAATTATCATGACCTATAGCCTTAACCTTTCCTACTTAATCAACATACATGTATATTTGAGTGCAAAAAATGAGTATATTTTAAAGAAGAATATTCTTTAAATGATAGATATGTGTACTGTTTTGCAGAGTAGTGATATTTCTGAACCTATTGATGCAGAACTGAGATAAAAAATCAACATGAAGAAGACGGGGGGTCCACCCAATAAAAAGCCTAGGTATAAAAGCCAGCTTTTAATATTACATGATTGTATAATACTAAATACAAGATGAAAGGTTTCTTTTTAGAATTTGCCACCAGTCCAAATTTAAAAAAAAAAAATGTTATATTATAAATGTGGTTATATTGAAGGGTTGAAAGTTTGAATTTGGTATATTAGAAAAATGACTTGTGGAAACTTAGACGATCAGCTAGTAATTTAACAGTGTTCTCTAACAGGAAGTAAAAGTTAACGAGTGGCAACTTTGACGATAAATAGAAATTCGTCAATTTTGTCAACAGTTTCACATCGTCAAAGTTTCCACTTTTACAGTATTCACCTTATAAAAGTAGATATATATCAGAAGAAACATGACAAAAATTAGATAAAATATGATTTTTATATTTTACATAAATTATAACCCCTTGTAAAATTTATAGTTTTACAGGTGCAATTAGTATGTACATGTATGTTAGCCATTGTTAGGCCAATTTTATGTTTACCGTTTAAACGTCGGGGTCTGAATTTTCTTTCCAGTGTAATGTAATTTTATATATAAGAATTGGAACAAAAATAAGAATGTAGAGAAAGTTGAATTATTAAGTGTCTTTTTTTTTAGATACAACGATGATGATGAGCCATCCCAGTTTGAGGATGAGCTGGCTTTAATGGATGAGATAGAAATGGAGATGCAGGAGGATTTTGATGATCATGATGGCCCTGCTGGTGACTCTTTTAGCTTTCTGTTTCTGAATTTTAGAAAATCTGTAAACAAAGTTTCCATGAGGTTTCGTGACTTACAGTACTTATGTTTCTGGCCTTAACATGTGTTTTTACTTGTACAAAAGCACAATGTTTATTTAACAGCAAAAAGAATAAAAAATAGAGTAATTTTTTTGTGTTCAATAAACAGCAAGTTTAAGGTATTTAGTCCTTCCGTAAGAAATATGTATTAGAGTTTCAGAATTGTACATTCCAATGTAGGTGACAGTCCTGAGGATGTGGATGCTCCCTCTAAGTGGTGTCGTCCTCCACTCCCAGGTATTAAAGCCAACACAGACAAACTGGTGTTCCAACAAATTGATGTTGATCATTATATAGGTATGCATGTACATCAGTATATTTTAAGTCTACATCATTTGATGCTTGTTATTTTGCTACTGACCATCACCTGCGGATATTGATTTGATGATTTTTTTAAAGATAAATGTTTTCTAATTTGTTTGCATGTAACAGTGTTTGACTCATTAGTCAAATTAAACTGCATGCATTTTAATCCATTGTTGATTTAGGTTTTTTCACATCATGGCCACAGGAATAAGGATGCACAGAGTCACATATTGAACCAAGAGTTTAATGTGCACCATTATTGATAAATCGCTTTCAAAACCTTAACAAGATCAAGATAGCTATAAATTCTGATAAGAGAAAGCTACAAAATCATATATTTATGAGCAACTATTGAATCCTCATGAGAATTTTATAAAAACATATTCGATGAGCAACAGGTCTAGGACTAGTACAAAGCTCTCGATTATTTACAGTGTAAATCACTTTTTATTTGTGAGAACTTTGGTATGATTATGCAAAACCGTATGCTTTGGAAAATTTCATTCTCTTGATTTTTTTTTCTAAGATTATATACATCAGTTACCAAAATTTATAGAAATTTTTTTTTAATGGATAGTACCATTGTTTTTTTTCCTTTTAGGTAAACATTTGCCAGGTATGCCTGGAGCAACACAGGGTCCAGTCCCAATCATTAGGATGTATGGAATCACAGAAAGTGGTAACAGTGTTATGGCTCACATTCATGGATTTGCTCCTTATTTCTTTGTTCCGGCTCAGCAAGGCTTCAAAAAGGAACACTGTGAACAATTCAGGGTAACCATGTTTTCAAATAAGGAATACCTGACAGATATTTTTTTGTCTCTGAAATGAGTTTGATGTTTTGCATAAGTACTTGTATATTGTATTATCCAGTTTTTCTTTTATTTCCTTTTAATGATCCGTTTAAAAAAAATTAATACAGAAACATTTAGATACTGTTGTGAGGGGAGATCTTCGTTCAAACAGAGAGGAGATCCAGACTGCAGTCCTGGCTGTAGATTATGTAATGAAAGAAAGTGAGTATGTTGATTTGGTGTTCACACATTGATTTTCAGCCTCATCCTAAGTATTCAGTAGTAGAATCAAACAGTGGTTGGGTTCCTGAAAAGTTCTTATAAAGTTTTTTCTCACCATGTAGGTGATAATGATAACATCCTCAAGAGTTGGTCATTCCCAACCAAAATTACTTGCATTTGCTAGTAGGCAAGTGGTTATTTGTAACCCTGTTTAAGTGTTTTGGAATAGGTTCATTCCCAAGTAACAATAAGCCTTACCTGGACTATTTTTGCATGGATGTTGCATCTTAGGTTGATGCTAGAAGACTTCATTCTAATACTGCATCTGACCTATATTTTCCCATCTAGTAACCAGGTTAAATAATTTAGAGCAGGTCCTTCCTTAGGAACTATAAGCTGCTACCTGGACCAAACTTGACTGTATGCATTTTAGGGATGCAACACTACCAGACCTGCTTGAGATTTTGCAACTGATATTCATGTGCATGTACATGCATACATTATGCTAAAATTATAAACTTATGTAATGACCCCTCAGGTAAAAGTTTTAGGAACAGGTTCATAAAGTATCTACTTTTTGAGCAGGTCGCTTTCCACATAGCTGTATAAACTATACCTGTACCAAACTTGTATGATGATCCATTCTAAGGATTCTAATTACCCTGTTTAAGTTACTAGTGATGTGTATTTCAGAAAGGCTTATAATGGTGAACTTCCATGTAACAAGGAGATCATACTAAACTCCATTTACTGTGAGACTTTGACTTACCTATAGATAACATTTATCAAAGTGAACTTTGTAATATTTCATTTCATATATTCAATAAAACTTTAATCTCAAATGTAAATCATCTCCATATTAAATTATTCTCCCATTACTTATGTTATCTTTTGACCTTATACAAGTGTAGTTTTCATTTATTAGGTATTTATGGTTACCATGGAAATAAAAAAGTTCCCTTCCTAAAGATAACAGTGGCCATACCTCGCCTGATAGCCCCATGCAAGCGTCTGTTAGAGCAAGGGTTTACCTGTCCTGGCTATTCCAGTCATGGTTTCTCTGCTTTTGAGAGTAACATAGACTTTGAAGTCAGGTGAGAATCCTAAGACTGTTTATTAGTACATAATTATACTGCTTGTCCAGAGGCAGTTTTTAAATGGATCCAAGTCAAAAGGAAATGAAATACCATGGTCTTGAGAGTTAGTAATGAACATATTTGATAGCATTTGTGGTTAAGCACAGAAATGTAAAGTTAATGTTATCGAGATTTATAACAGCTTACATGAGATGATGTACAAATAAGTAGAAGAAGGCATTTAGGGTAATAGATATATAAATCTTATATAGATTTATGGTGGACACAGATGTTGTGGGTTGCAGTTGGATTGAGATTCCAGCAGGAAAGTATCTGATTCGGGAGAAAAATAATCCTAAATTACCTGTTAAATCACGCTGTCAGTTGGAGGTGGACGTGTCGTGGGAGGATTTTATTTCACATGTCCCTGAGGGGGAGTGGTCTGCTGTAGCTCCATTTAGAATCCTCAGCTTTGATATTGAGTGTGCTGGGAGAAAAGGTAGGTAATGTAAGAAATGTGGACTTGGCTATGTAGATGTCTAGATGATAGCAAGAGATGGGGACTTGGCGATGTAGATGTCTAGAGGATAGCAAGAGATGGGGACTAGGCAATGTAGATGTCTAGATGATAGCAAGAGATGCGGACTTGGCTATGTAGATGTCTAGATTGTAGCAAGAGATGTAATGTAAGGGATGTGGACTTGGCAACTTTTGAATCAATGAAGAGCTCTTTAAAACTCAAAAATACTAGATCTGCTTGTTAATCTATAATTAGATAATAACTTAACAGTAAATTGTGGGATTATTTGCTTACTAATCACATGCTCTGAATGACATTATGTTAACTTTCTCTACTTTAACACACTTCATTGTTATTTTATAATTCAGAGTATATATATGTATATACGTTTGTCAGGAATATTCCCGGAGCCAGATAAGGATCCAGTGATACAGATTGCCAATATGGTCATTAAACAAGGAGAGAGAGAGCCATTCATCCGTAATGTATTCACACTGAATTCCTGTGCCTCTGTAGTGGGATCCCAGGTCATCAGTAACGAAAAGGAGTCCAACCTCCTTAGAGTTAGTAAAAGAATGTGTAATCTCCCTTTGAATTAAATGTTTACAGAAGTATGCAGTCAAATAATGTACTGGTCATGTCTTGCAAACTATGAGGTAGGGTTGGATACCGTTAAGGATGAAACGGTACGATACCATACTAGTATTTTTGAAATGATACAGTATTTTTAACGATATGGTACTATGCATTGATGAATGAAAATGAGGGTTCATTTTATAACAAAATGTGCTTTCACTATTCACTAACCTTTCAATGATATAATCTAAAATGAGCTTATAAACTATATTCCATGCTTTTAAGAGAGATATTCTTAAAATTCAAAATACAAACATTTCATTTCAACCTTTTAATAATGATCAACAAAACAAATCAGTTGAATCCCAAACAAATTAATTTGAACAAATCGGCTGACTGCTTCACCCGGTTGCCCGGACCCCTTTTGTTTGGTCGCATTAAATGACGAAACATTAGTTAATGGATAGATCACATTTTTTGCGATATTTTGCCTTTTTAATTTACATTTATTATCAGTTTTTATTTGTAAAATTAAAATAAGATTCATGTGAATGTATTTTGATTTTTAAAAAAAAAAAAATAATAAATGTATTGATTTACCTCGAATATCGGCAGTCGAAAGTAAGTAAAGATTTAGAAGTACCTTTATTAGTACCAGTACTAAATAAAATGTTATTTTACCGGTATTTTTGAAGTAACTATTCGGTACAGTATTGGTACCAAATACCGGTATCCAACCCTACTATGAGGTAGTGCATTATAAATTGCAAGCAGACATGCACGTACAAGCCCATGGACTGTCTAAAAAAGGTTATTCATAGCATAACCATATTCATATTCTAACCCCCTCTCTTTTTTCTTTTAATGCATTTACATGTATGTAAAACAACGAAAGATATGCTGAAGTTCTATTTGTAAAATGATGATCCAGAGTTAAATTGTTTGACAAGTGATCATGTATCCTAGTTTTGCAATTTTGTATATTGGGAGAATTTTTAATGTAGATCAAAGTCACTGGATCCTATTAACCACGAATACATGTCCATTAACTTCTGTTAAATTTTTATTAACATTGTAGAAATGGGCAGAGTTTGTGCGAGTGGTAGACCCAGACATAATAACAGGGTACAACATACAGAATTTTGATCTTCCTTACATCATTAATCGAGCCAATCATTTAAAAGTGGCAGATTTTACATTTCTGGGACGACAGAAGGATGTTAGATCCGTGATAAAAGAGTCCATGTTCCAGAGTAAACAGATGGGAAAGAGAGAGAATAAAGTCATCAACATTGAAGGGCGAGTTCAGTTTGACCTTTTACAGGTAAAAGTCGAGTTTGTTGTCTCAGGTGGTTATAATTTATTCCAGTTACAAAACTGATAAACCAATACATTAGAATGAAAATTGTGTTTTCGACATTCATTAAAAATTTTAATTTATCAGATGCATCTGATTTGAGTGACTTTTGGGGAGTGTCTTTTTTTGGCACTGTCTGAGCGCAGGTGTAAATAATAACAACCTGCTTCATTCCGTGTCAAACATTGATCTCCTCGCAAACTACTTAAGCCTCCACTTGCTTTAAAGAGTATACATGTATACATATAATACTGATATTTATTTCTATTGATGTTATCAATTATTACTAAAATTTCATTCTGTTTGGTAACAGTGTCTATACTTACTTCTAGATATTGTTGAGAGATTACAAGTTACGTTCCTACACATTGAATGCTGTGTCGTTTCACTTCCTTCAAGAACAGAAGGAAGATGTGCAGCACTCCATTATTACTGATTTACAGGTGAGAAGGGTGGGGAATTTGTAACAGTTCAGGGGTAACTGTCAAAGGATAGGGTCAAAATGATAAAGATAATTACCAGATAAGCAGAATTTTTAGCAAGAATTCAATTTCGGATTTATTAGTGATAGTTCTGAGATCACTAAAATTGAATGTTGCTAACAGTTTATTCCATAGGTTGTTATAGTTATCTCTCTTGACATTATAAAATCGCTAAAAATATATACCAATTTTTGGGGGATAAAGGGGGAGTTTCGATAAGGCCACTCAGCGGCCCACTTTTTTTCATAAAAATTAATTTCAATTTATTTTTTCAAAACTAGTGTAGAATTCAAGATAAATATGTTAACTTTTGTTATTTATATTTCAAAAGTTAATGTGAGATGAATTAACACCGTAGCTGATACATACTTAGATGTACCCTCAGATCCGTTAGGCCAAACAAAAAAATATGTGTGGTTCCGGTTACACTTCCAAAAAAATTAGGGTAGGTAGGTAGGGAATTTTTTTTTTTTTTTTAACAAAATGATTTTCTTAATTTTTTTCTAAATATTACCTATTACTGCTTTGCAAATGGCATTTAGATGTGGTGTGATAAAATACTAGTCAATATTGGTAGGGGACACCTACATGCTAGCTTGCTTTGGATTTAACACTATTAAACACTTGCACTATGTTTTGCAAGGAGGCCGTCATTGCTGAAACTAAAACTTAAACTGGAGCAATTGATGGAAATGGGGGGAAATTCTGGAAAAAATATGAAAATAGCCAAAAAAAAGTTTAGGGTCGGGGGGTATAAAATAGGGAAGGTCGGGTAACCGGAACCACACATATTTTTTTATTTGGCCTTAACATTAGGCTTATGGGAAAATATAAGAGGGTGGCATTTATAAATCGAGGTTTAGAACATGAAATGCATGAGGGACACTCATCTAAATTTGTTCAGTAATTAGATATACTCTGCACACTAATTTCTTGAAATATGTCGCGTGTGCACTTCATATCCAAAAATTAAAAATTACGTAAAATTTGCATATCTAAAATTAGAAGCTCCTGGTTTCTTGATCTGACTCTGTGTTAAAATACTAAGCCAAAAGTAGCATATTTTTATTAAATCAAAGAAGATTCTCGATTATATTAACAGTAGAAAACATTATCGTATACTATCTTCATTTCAATACTTTTTTTGTCGCCAACGCATAACGTTAACGTCACATATTTAGCTCACCTCCTCGAAGTTGGGGGAGTTTTTGTAATACTGTCGGCATCGGTTTTCCAGGTAAAAAGTTTTTGAAGCAGATTTTTTTTTTCAAGTATATCTATGCCCTATATTAATCAGAGTCACCTGATCTAGCGTCTTTCCCTGTCACAAGTCAGGTTCAGATGCTGGATTTTTAGCCAAAGAATGACCAGGTAAATGTTTTAAAAGCAGGTTTAAGTTTTTGGAGCAGAGCAGCTGCAAGCACTTGTTGACCAGACTTGCTTCATGATGCATCTGTGGATGCACACTACTAGATTGCTTCAGATGCTGGATATGACCTACATTTCCTGAATGAGCAGGTTAAAGATTTTGAAGCGGGTCTCATTCTTATGTAACTATAAGCCCTATCATGACCAGACTTGCAATGATGATGCATCTAGGATTGCACACTACCAGACATGGTTCAGATGCTGGATCTTTCTTACATTTTCCGACTGACTGAATAAAAAATAAGTTTGAGAGCAAGTCCATTCCTTATCATTATTTATCGTGCATAGTTATATTTTTGACTTTCTTGTAAATAGAAATCCACGCTCCAACATGCTAGAGAGGCGCCCATATATTTCCGTGTGGTTGATTTAGGGAACGTGGCTTGTTATTAGTCTGGATGTCTAGGTGCATATGTCTGCCTGATTAAGGATTAAACACATATCTTTGGCGTTTACACATGTATTTAGAACTGCGCTCTGGTCTAGCAAATCATATATAATGAATTCTAAAACTCTCTAGATGAGAAGTGACTAGAGTTGGTGAAGTGAGTTGGTGAAGCAACTTAAGTATCTATGGTGAGTTGGGAAGCGAGAGGAAATTAGTCCTGGCTGGGATTCTCTCAGATACGTTGAAAACATAATGCAGATCTATATGGGCAAATACTTCTTGGTTTCATAATTGTTTGTTAACAACAATCTAAAGTTGCTAATGTTATGAATTTCTTAACCAATGAGAATCTAGGTCACCATTTGAGAGACGCTGATTATGTATCGCCGAGATTGTCACGCCTTACTGAAAATTCAAGCAGAAACGATATTTGTACTATCAAATACATTGCAATATACTGAAGCTGGTAGGTGCTAGGTAAAAAAAATATATATTTAGTTTCTGCATGGTGCCTGCCATTGAAATATCTGGCGGTCGCCAGATAAAATTGTAATGTTTTTGCCAATCAAGTTGTAGCACCCAATGATGTACCTTAATGCACTTGATTGACAGAGGTACACAGATCGGGTATTTTTGAAGGCCGTGCTTAAAATCTCTGCCTTTAACGACATCTATAACTTCTGTTTGTAGTCAAATCTGAGAGTTTCATGCCTTATTATTTACATTTTATACAAAAAAATCACTTCATAAGGTCTTCTACTCATAACTTTAAATTAATGTTTTATTAGATTACATGTCTACACCGCAAGAAGGCTTCTAGGTATTTACGTGGCGGCCGCGAGATAAGTTTCTGGTCGCCAGTTTCTGGTCGCCGCCAGTTATTTATGTGGTGGCCGCAGGAAAAGTATTTGGCAGCCGCCAGATATATATTTTCTAGCAGCTGCCGAATAATTATGTGGCGGCCGCCAGATAAAATATTTTTCTTACCTTGCACCTACAATGTACAGGCTTACATAGCAATATGATGCTTTTAAATAAACTTTTTATGTATGTATGTATAAAAAGTTGCATATTTTTTAAAATTCTTTTTTATTTCAAAACATTTAATTTCAATTTTATGATATTAAGGTATATTTTTATAAAACATGTAGTTGTATAACCTCATTGATGAAAATGTACTGCATATACCTGTATATGACGTTTTTACGTTTACCTAGCTCATGTCTACATATCTTTTCATTTGCATTTTTTGTATGGGAAAATGTTAAATATTGATTTTAAAGATTATATATAAACTGTCGATTAATTATGAGGTTAAAACTTTCGATATATATTTACGTTTTATGAGTTAAATTCATCCTCTTTTGAAGAAAAGTAAGATTTAACACACCAGAAAAATGTTGCACCTTAAAAAAACATTCGCATGAGATCAATACCATTTTCCGTAAAAAAAAAAATTGTTGAAATTGGTTAATTTATGTCTTTATTCATATTTATCCTACTTCATTTACGATTCTAACGGCTAAAAAATCCACTTTCCCCCTATAAAAATGTCTACTCCAAAAATATACGAAAGGGGGTATACTTAAATTTTCAATTATCACGTGACCGGAAAATGCGTAACATAGATTATTTTCATATTTTTTTGGAAGATAAGGAGTTTTTCTACAAAATATCAAAATTTCATAAAATTTCGTGAGGGGCCGAAAAACGGCCTTTTCGAAACTCCCCCTTTCCATCTCACTAAAATTTCCACTTATACGGGTATATACAGAAATTTTTTTGAAAATCTTCAAACCGGAAAACAAAAAGATATTTATTATATTTGGGTTGATTAAGCATATTAATGAAAAGAGCAACTTTTAGTGCACGGGTGAAATTTACATCGGCAAAAATGTAAGGTGCATATTTATTTTTACTCTTAAATTATTGTGAATGATCTTGTTATTGTTTTCATTATGCCAATATGCAACACAGCTATTGCAACTAAGTTGGTTAAGAATTTTTGCATTTGATTTTTTATAAAAGAAGATTTCTTCAGCATGTTTTTTGTAAAAGAAATCACAATTCTTAGAAAATGGCAGTGAAAAATATAGCGATTAATCTGTTGACAGAATGGTAATGACCAAACTCGTCGTCGTTTAGCCGTATACTGCCTGAAGGATGCCATTCTTCCTCTGAGGCTCCTAGACAAACTAATGTGTGTCATCAACTACATGGAAATGGCCAGGGTCACAGGAGTACCACTACCATATCTATTGTCCAGAGGTCAACAGGTCAAGGTTGTGTCACAATTGCTAAGAAAGGTAATATGTTTGGATTTTTTATGATGGATAGATTGCATGATTATTCAAAGCTGTACTGTCAACTATTTTTTGGACTATTCATCCTGAACATTGAACATAACACTGAAGTTCTTTCTTAACAAAACAAGATTAAAATTAATTTTGTTTCTGCAGAGGAATACAAATACATAAACCTGTTTATAACCTATTAGGCTAAAGAATGCAAATACATGTATGTAAACCTGTTTTTAACCTATTAGGCTAAAGAATACAAATATGTAGACCTGTTTTTAACCTATTAGGCTAAAGAGCAGGATCTTTTGTTACCAACCCACAAAGTAGAGACTGGTGATGAATATGAAGGAGCTACTGTCATAGAACCAGTCAAAGGTTACTATGACATCCCCATAGCAACACTGGATTTCTCCTCCCTGTACCCCTCTATCATGATGGCACATAATCTTTGTTATACAACACTGCTCAGTCAACACTCCATACAGAAGGAGGGGTGGGTATAGATATTGATTGACAAGTTTACATGTGTGTCATACAATCAGGAATTGAGAAAGCATACTTAACATTTCTTTTTTGAGATCTAAAGTGTAAATAACTAGATACATGTTTGTTGTAATTATTTGTACAGACTGACTCCAGATCAATACATAAAGACACCATCAGGAAATTACTTCATCAAGTCTCAGTATAGAAAAGGTCTTCTTCCAGAAATCCTCGAGCATCTGCTGTCTGCCAGGAAAAAGTGAGTTCCCAGCAGTCTTTATCTTTAATAAAATCTAACCAGAAGATATTTATAACCCGTATATAGTATTCTGACCCTGGGATCTCTTAATTGTGGCCCATTGTAAAAAGTTGTACCATTTGTTTGTCAATTAATATAATGAGAATAGGAGATACTGACATTTAAAAATATCTTCTAGAGCAAAAGCTGATTTAAAAAAGGAAACAGATCCGTTCAAGAAGAAAGTGTTGGATGGTCGACAACTGGCTCTGAAGATAAGCGCAAACTCTGTGTATGGGTTCACAGGAGCTCAAGTGGGAAAATTACCCTGTCTAGAAATCTCACAGGTGAGTCATCCAATTCCAATTAATTTTCGATAGTGACTTGGTCCAATTTGGCAACACTACTAGAAATGTCCCAGGTAGGTTAAAAATAATCATCCTTAGAAATCCCAATGTAGAAATTTCCCATGTGGATTCCCAAATTAGATCACTGAAAAATTGCCTGGTGAGTTCAGAAATCAAGCTGTCAAGAGTGGGTCCACATCCATTGACTTTTAATTCTTGTACCACTATTCATTTATTTAAAGTAAAATGGATCTCTAACTTTGATATCTCAAAACATATTGAAAGTGTAAAAATAAGAATTTCATTACAAATCTGGATGTGTAAGATGTCATTGTTGAGACTTGGGGGAAATGAATGTAGCATTTGCTTGATTTAAACCATTCATTTCTTATATTCTGGTATGTATCAGAAAGAAGGTAAATGTAAATTTTAAACTCTAGTATAAAGGTAAGGAGCATTAAAATATTCTACAAAATGTCTGTAATGCTTATCTGTATAACGGTTCAACTTTTGTTTTAGAGTGTCACAGCATTTGGCAGAATGATGATAGAACAAACAAAGACCTACGTAGAGGAACATTATACTATTGCTAACGGGTATCAGCATGATGCAAAGGTAACATACACCCCACCCACCCTTTTTCAAACAGAACACACACAAACACTTGTATAGGTCAGCTTTTAAGTTAGTTTTTGCCTTATCACAAGTGGTTTGCAAATGAAACTTGCACATATACATGTACAATGTAAGTGCATCAGTGGATACTTGGATTGTATATGAATCTTTATGCACCACTACAGAATCAGTTGGTGTTTTTAATGGTCAGACAAATGAGGAAACAAACTTCTCCATAATGTACTATGCTAAGCTGTCAGAGAATTTTTTTTAAAATCTAGATTCTATTGTCTGTTTTTTATTTATTTATTTTTTTTTTATTTTTTTTTGCTCCTTGTGAATATCACCAGAGAGATAACTTTTAGAATTCCTTTCCTAGTACTATATGTATGATATAGAAATACATACGTGTAGTATAGAAGTATATTGTTATGTACATGTATAAAATATAGAAAAGAACAAAATGACAAGATTTTCTTTTAGGAGAAGTATGTTATAAGTCCTATGATTCATGTAGATTTAAACTGTCATTGAAAAGTTTCATGATAAAGATTAATATTTTTAATGACACAAAGTATATTCTATCAGATCATAAAGATATATTGCAATATACAGTTGAACTTCGGTATCTCAGACACTGATATCTCGAATGCCATGAATATGTTGAAGTGATTTGAAAGTCCCAACTGCTTATTGTTCAAGTATTTTACCCTTGATATCTCGAATCCTCAGATATCTCAAAGTTTTTTTCTTGGTCCCATCGAGTTCGAGATAACAAGATTTAACTGTATCTAGAACTGTAAAGTATTTTCAAAATACATTTCTTAAGATTTTTGAAGCTAAAATTTAGCAGTGGCTTGAGACTAACACTATCCTGGTTTATATCTGATATAAAATGTTTAGGTGATCTACGGTGATACAGATTCTGTAATGTGTAAGTTTGGGGTGGAAACTGTTGCTGAGGCCATGAAGCTCGGACAGGAGGCAGCCGAACTGATCTCTGAAAAATTCATAAAACCAATCAAACTGGAATTTGAGAAGGTCAGATTTTAGGAGAATTTATTAAATCTCTGTAGAACCATGTCTAGTTTGTCATTCTTTCAATTGTGTCAATATTTATGTTTCCTGGCAATTAGAGAATATTACATATGTGAAATTATCCATGGGTCATTTACCGTATGCAGCATGAATATATAGTAATGTATATATATATGTAGTTCAGTAGCATGGAAGACTGCACTGAAGTATTACCATTGAAAAGTATGTTGATAATTGCAACATTTAGACAGAGAATACACCTTGTAATGTATTTATATAAAAAATATAATATTTGCTGATTTACAGGTGTACTTCCCTTATCTGTTGATAAACAAGAAAAGGTATGCTGGGCTGTACTGGACAAATCCAGACAAACATGATAAAATGGACTGTAAAGGGATAGAAACTGTCCGCAGGGACAACAGTCCTCTAGTCGCCAATCTAATCAACACCTGTCTACAGCTCATCCTCATCAATAGGTAATTAACTGTCTACATCCTCATCAATAGGTAATTAACTGCCTTGTCCAAATGACCTTGGTTTAGGGTCATGATATCCTCTGATCATAACCTTGTTTTGCTTAAAATAACGAGTTTTCAAACATGAAACCATAGTAATGTTATGGATTGAATGAACAGAATGAAGGAAGAAAGTATTTTTGGACAGGGATCCTCAGGGGGCTGTGGAGTACGCTAAACAGTCGATATCTGATCTGCTGTGTAATAGGATTGACATCTCACAGCTCGTCATCACTAAAGAGCTGACAAAAACAGGAGATGAATATGCAGGCAAGCAGGCACATGTTGAATTGGCGCACAGGTAACTGCTAATTCATTACAGTAGATCACCAATTTTAGGATAATTCTTTTGTATTTATTAATGAGACAAAATTTTCCTGAAGTTTGGTTACTGCTGTAATAATCCTTAAGAATACAAATATACACGAGATTGAAATTTTCATGAGCAAATGGTTGCACATATTTAGTAAAAATGAGGCCTTGCAAATAAAAAGTGATTTACAGTAATATAAAGTGTACTTTAACTTGTCATATTTTACTGCAGTTTCAAGTTTGTGACTATTCCTTTTTCAGTTACAACATATTGTTTGTCTTTTTTTTAAACCATGGATTTAAAAAACTAAGTTAGATTGTACTTTGGATTTCAAATCTTTTACAGAATGAAAAAGCGAGATGCAGGAAGTGCACCACAGCTGGGGGATAGAGTTCCGTATGTCATCATTGCAGGCACCAAGGGTTCAGCAGCTTACATGAATTCAGAGGACCCCATCTATGTCCTGGAAAACAACATAGCTATAGACACTCAATATTATCTGGAGAACCAGCTCTCCAAGCCACTCCTCAGAATCTTTGAACCAATTCTAGGCGAGAAAAAAGCAGAGTCTGAACTTCTGAGTAAGTTTGCAAAGGTTGTTTTTTTATGGTAAAATATGGACCAGTAATGCTTTGTTAAGTCTAAAAATAATTGTTTTATTGAACTCAGATGGAAGATATTAAATTATGAAATATAAGCAGTATTATAGTTGACAACTTTATAATTGGGTAAAATTCATTGAACATTACAAGCGGTGTGCATCATCTTCATCAGACAAGATGTACTCTGATGTTTTAGTTTGTAAAAAAAATCCAAAAATGCCAGATAATTGTTTTACTCCCAGAGTGGAACGTTAAGAAGGATATAATTAATCATGACCAATGTTGAATCATTATATTTGTTTATGAAAAACAAGATTAACTAGGAGACTAATTGTTCAGAGAACAATTAGAGGCCTTTCCACCTTTTTAAGTGTTTCCATGTCATTTGGGCTGAAAAAAAGGAGAAAAATGCAAAAAATGAAGAAAAAAAAATGCTCCTCCAGCTGGGATCGAACTCAAAACCCTTGGGTTGAAAGGCAGGTGCGCTAACCATTCGGCCACGCATTCCGATAACACACATAAGTTAATTGTTTCAGACTATAAAAGAAATGCAAGCGTATTTTTAGAATCGGTAGGGGAAGAAAGAAGTTCCGTAAAAGGAAATAGTTCCTGAATTTGCAAGCAGTATATTAAATAATAAGGGACGGACTGCGTAAGAAAACATTAACACTGTTCCCTAATGAAAATGTATTAATGGACTGTAGCCCGATTCATCGATATTGTGAGCATGCTGATTTTTTTTGTAAATAGCTTTGTTGTAAGCTTAAAAGATCGGGTTCGGATTTTAACATTTCTGACTGAATATCCTGAAATAACTATGAAACATTTAAATAAGCATTTCTTTGGGTTAAATTAAATATGTGTATCACAAATTAAACTCCCAACATGCATTTTTAGAAGGGAAACACGACAATGAAAGCGAGAATTGTTTTTAATCTACCGAAAATCGCTATTTCTGGAAACTGATTAATTCTAAATAAAAATCAAATAAATTCCAAATGTAAAAGAAAGAGAGAATGCTTGGTATTAAAATGTCGTATCATATCAGGAGAATCGAATGCTGCTAACGACATCTGAAGAAATAGCCGATAAAAGGTTTAGATCATTTCTTCGTTCACCTGCACTTTAATTACAAACACAACAGAACTTGTAGTTTTTGCCGTGAAACTTCAAGACTTCTATAAACTTATAGGACTCACCGTAAAACTCTCCAGAAACTTTCTCTGAGGTCTATACTACAATTGTACCAAATATGGTGTCGATCCGAGGTCTGGTTTGAATTTGACAGAAATATTCTACGTTGTTGTTGATGTGATTTTTTTTTTTTTTTTTTAAGAGGGGGGGGGGGGGTAGGTTAATTATTTATTTTATGCCTCTTTTAAACTAAGAATTGTAACTACTTCCAATTCCTTAAGCCTGATTGTGACCTTGGGTCAAGGTCAAGGTCAAAGGTCACGGTCATTCAAAAAAAAAAAAAAAAAACCAAAAACTCAAGAAATCTTTACTTTCTGTCTTTTTACCAGATACTGGAGCTGGATGCATGTCCTAGCTTTTCTATTTGACCCAATGTCAAGGTCAAAGGTCAAGGTCAAAGTTCAAGGTCATTTGGTGAATTGCTATATTTTACACATATATAAAGGATTTCTTATGTTTTTAAATGACCTTGACCTTTGACCTTGAACTATATTTCAAGGTCAAAGGTCGAACATGCCCATGCAGTTGATCCCATGTCTCTAGGATACACCGTTTTAAAAAAAAGTTCTTTAAATGTAAGCAGCATAAACTTTCAGGGGCAGTTACTCATACAAGGGACCAAAGAATGCTTTCGCAATGATAGAATGAAGAGAGTACTAAATGAGTCGAAGACACTGATGAAGGTTTGGAATCTCTACGGTTTACGGTTTCGGAGGAGTAGCGATAACAAGGTTTTGTTGCACAAGGGGTGACAATTTTTGAATGGGTCAAGCTCGGGGGACAAGAATGAAATCTTTGAAATAGTTTTAGAAGGACATATTACAGATGCAAAGATATTCAGTATATGTTGAAAGACAAAAGAGATATTAAAAAAGCTAATTTTCTCATATTTTGAATGACCTTGACCTTTGACCTTCACAAAAATTTCAAGGTCAGAGGTCACAAAATCTAATGCAGTTGGTCCCATGTCTTTATGACTTATCGTTTAGAGAATTTTGTCATTATTCGTAAACTTCAAAAACTCTCAGGGGCAGTAATTCATTAAAGGGCTCGACAAATCGTTTCGCAATGAAAAGATTGAAAAGTCCTCTCAAGTAGTCAAAAACATTGGTGAAGGTTCTGTATCTCTACGGTTTATGGTTTCGAAGGAGTAGCGATAACAGGCTATTCTTGCGAAAGGGGCAATAACTTCGTAAGAGGTCATGGGTCAAACACGGAGGGTTGTTTTTCGAAATAACTTTTAATATCCAGTATCATGAACTGTAAAGTTTTTCGATAAGTCTTGCGGTTTCAAAAGTCCTGGTGAGAAATAAAATAATAATAAACATAAGCATTTCAAGAGGTCTTTCCACAGAAAGGTGGAAAGACCTAATTATTTCCTTCATAATAGTATTTGTCACTATATCACAGGGGGAGACCATACTAGGACAAAAACAAAGGTGGCATCTAAGGTTGGCGGTTTAATGGCATTTGCTAAGAAGAAGGAGACTTGTATTGGATGTAGGACAGTGCTGCAGGAAGAGGGTAAGTTGTCATGCAAGTCAGATAGTAGGGGAGATCAACTGGAATATTTAGGTCACTTTCCGGGTCGTGCAGCACAGAAAATGTTTCTCTCAGTAATGGTGTTTTTCCTGTTTGATACTACTTGTTTAGTATTTAGGTAAGACATGCTTTTTCACAATGCTAGCTCTTGGATGGAAATCTAGAGAAGCAAATATATTGGTGAAGTGACCATCATTTGTTTGTAATCATATGCCCCTAACAATTGACAATTGTTGCCATATATTTTTGTCTCTAGCCTTCTCTCTTTTCTTTTTCTTAGTCTACACTCATGCTTGCCACAGTGGTAGTTTATGATTAAAGGATGTGTTATAACCCGACCCAAAGTTATTTGGACCAGGGATGAGAAGTCTTATCTGTATCAAAACTTTGTATTGGAACAATGATTAAATATGAGAGAATATGTTGTGACCCCGAGTCCAAGGTCATGTGGACTAGAACAAGGTCAAATTTAAGTAGATAGTGCTAGGGGCCTTCATTTTTTGAAATTATTTGGGTTGGAGTTGCAATTAATCTACTTTAAGGAATTTATTTGAGGTCCTAAGGTTAAATCAGATGGATGTGCATGCTATAATGATATTGTTGGATTTGATGTGACAGTGATATATATGTTGCACATATGTGAATGTTTGGAATGTAATGCAATTAAGCCAGAATGCTGCTGACTTTTATTATTCAAAAATTGTTTGTTTTGTGTAAAACATTGATCCAAAGTGACTTTCAGGAAAGGTTACTAAAATAAGTTGAACACAGTCCCTATAGGCCTCAAACTACTATCCAGTGTTTCTCTCTCAAAAATTATATTAACCTGCTGCTCCTTTCTTATGTTGATACTAAATTATTTATAGCTCAAGATCAAGTTAGCTTTTCTGATTACATTTTGTCAGTTTGTCCCTCTGTAAATTCCTCACATTTTTTACTTCTTTTCAAGAACCATTAGACCAATTTCTACCTAACTTAATACAAAGCATTGTTGGGTAGAGGGGATTCAAGTTTGTTCAAATGAAGGGCCTTGCCGTCTTTCAAGGGGAGATGGATGGGGGGGGGGGGGGCAACAATGGATGGTCAAAGTTTTACATAGGAATATATAGAGACAAATCTTTAAAAATCTTCTTATCAAGAACAGCAAAGCCATGGTTAGTCATATTGATATGAAAACATCCTCAGGTAGTGCAGATTTTAAAATTGTTCAAATCATGAGCCATGGGGTTATGGTTATGGTGGGGCCACAATAGACAGTCAGAATTTTACATAGGAAGATATACCGTATATACTCGCCTATAAGTCGGTTTTTTGGGAGTTAACTTTTGGTCTAAAACTCTATGCCCGACTTATAGGTGAGACATCAAAAGCAAAAGCTATAAATAGATTATAAATAAAGTACAAGTATTTACCGATGTCATATCCTAACATATTATTTGAACACAGGTAAATAAATTAGAGTATTGATGTGAAATTTATAAGAGAAGAAAAAAAAAGAGATAAAATATCGGCGTAATCCTTCAAAATATTATTTGAAAAACGTTAAAACATTAGAGCATTAATTGAAATTGTCCACCGATTCTGGCAAAAAGTTGTACCGATTTATAGGTGGGTCAATTGCAAATCCCTCCAAAATAACCTCAAAAATCACAACCGACTTATAGGCGGACCGACTTATAGGCGAGTATATACGGTAGGAAAAAAATCGTCAAAAATCTTCTTAAGAACAGCAAATGCCTGATTATTCATATTGGTATGAAAGCATCCTCAGGTACTATAGATTAGAGTTTGTTCAAATCAAGATCCCTTCGGGTAGTGTTGGGTCATAATAGGTGATCAGTGTTTTTCATAGGAATATATAGGTAAAAGTGCTGCTGAAGAACAGCAGGGCCATAGTTACTGAGGTGAGGGTTGTAACCCATGGGCCTCTTGATTTGAAGTTGAAGAGAAAAATGTAAACATGAAAAGAGAAAAATTTCTACAAGGCAAGGTTCACCTATTCTCCAAGAATTATACTTCAAACAGAAGTGTTAAGAGTCCCATCAAATACATACATGTACTTCTCCATAATGTACAATTAAACAATTTAATTATTTTGACCTTGTAGGTGTGGCTGTCTGTAAGTACTGTAGACCAAAGGAGTCTGAAATCTATCAGAAGGAGATCTCACACCTTAACATTCTGGAGGAGAAATTCTCCCGGCTCTGGACTCAGTGTCAGAGGTGTCAGGGCAGCTTACACGAGGATGTTCTGTGTACCAGGTTAGTGTGTATAACTTAACAATCAGCTTACATGAGGATGTTCTCTGCCTTTCGATAAGTGAGCAACTTTAAGGGTTTCCCTTTGAGGAATGGAGGAGGGGTAATGACCTTTATTACATGACTTTATTTTGAGACTTTCCTTCCCAAAACGGGGGTTGAGAAATTGTGTATGCGTCATGTTATTTTAACACCCATAAAAGGCTTTCATTACAATGTGTCCCATTTGAATTACTCCCCTTTTCACACATTAATATTTCATTCCAGTCGAGATTGTCCTATTTTCTACATGAGGAAGAAGGTGCAGAAAGACTTGGCAGATCAAGACAAGTTACTCAGCAGGTTTGGGGATCCCACCTGGTGATGGTGTTATACATGGTGGGGAACATGCCAAATAATAGTTCTCAAAACTCCAATCAAATAGGCTAAAATATTCAAATAGCTGACTCTTACTGTTTAAATACACATTCTGGTGCATCCTGGCTGAAGCACATCTACCACCAGAAAATTGTTTACATAAAAAAAATCAAAGAACTGAAATGTGAAAAACCCAAGATAAAGTTACCATTGAATCAGATTGGTGCAGTGCTGGACAGTATGATGTATTTACTAAGAAGTGAAGACTACTGTTGTGGCGCTATGATTTGTGACAATTAACTGTGATATAATATCAGTGGAGTATTCCTAATTTTTCCACCACAACCTCAATGATCATTTAATGAAAATCTATCAAATGGATATATTGATGTTGATTTAGTAAAACCAAATATTCACTTACATTTTTTTACTTCAATATTAGAGGAAAGCTGAAAATATGAAGTCCCTAAATGGGACATGGACATACTTGCTTTGCTGTTATGTTTACAGTTATGAATTTCTATTATTTTTTGAACAATAACTTCAGTTTTACAATTTGAGCTTGCATGAAAATTCTAAATACTCATTAGCAATCCTACGCAAATTAATACACTTCTTTTCTTGAATATAAGGAAAATTTTTAGCTTATAAAAGTGCAAAGATTTATGATGATGATTCGTAGTTCTGATAATTTTCAGACAAGTTTATATTAATGTACAAGTTTACATATTATGTCGGACTGAGATGTTCTCATGAAATTCTACCGAAAATTTTGAAGGTTACAAACTTCAATTCTGGGTCTTTGCCCCTTAAGTAGAAGTTTAAAAAAATGAAAGGGATGGAGGTTCGTTTTAAATCAGTCCAAAGAATTAGAAAAAGAGGTTAAACAGCACATACTCATTGGAAGGTTTCTGTTTGAGTGTTATTGGTACATATTACTACTATTCATTCATTATCCATTCATAAGTTTTTATGGGTCATGGTATGTATTGACATAGAAATCTTAGATGTTAAAGGGCAGGGCTTCATTGTGCATTAATTGATTTCAGGCGAGAATTTTCCGATTTATTTTTGGAATTAAAAAGACATTTACCGTCTCAGTCATGTTTGGCGTGTAATTTCATGGATAAACATTTGAGGGACCCTACATAAATATTTTAATAGTGCTTGACTCAGATTAAACAGATGTTAAGTTTGTCACAGACCCATGACATAGGTGAATAGTGGGTTGTAACTACTCATGGCCACGCAGTGAGTCAGGTCTTTGATGTATTGAAACTCCAACAAGGAAAATTTTCCATCTATCCTCTTTTTCAATTAATTCAGTCTTATAATAGGTCAATGTCATTGGAACACTATAGGGGATGAGCAGAATAATTAGAATTTTACACTGTTACTTAATTTATATGTATTTCTTTAATCCCCCCCCCCCCATCTCCCATCTTAGGTATGTGAAAGATGAAGGGATGTAAGATCCGCCCATTGCGTGCAGGTACAGATAGAAAGGCTATCGAGTTAAGTTGCGTGACTCTAGTGTGTTGCTATTTGCATTGATTTAGGAAATGTTTGTATAAAGTTTTTAAGTAGGGGTCACTAAATTTAAATCCCGTCGCATATAACGTAACATGGTAATGCTCATTCACAAACTTGGAAAGCGAGTGCGAGTTGTTGTGATTTGTGACTAATTATAGATACCGTTGACCCTGTGTAAACTCAAACTACAAACATCAGTGACAGTATATTTTTAGGAATTATTTACAGAAAAGTCCAGAACGCCCACCAAATTAAACACTAGCTTGTCATAACGGACCAACACAGGTAAGGAAATTATATCCATTTTTATTAAAAATCTTATGAAATGTAGGAAAAAAATCTAATGTGTAACCTTCAAATAATCTTCGGAAGGTTTATTTTATAAATTCTTAAAATTTTGAATTCCAAGGTTTTCTGAAAAAAATATCCTTGTCAAGTTTTGGTAAAATTGGAATTTTCTAATCAAAGTTGGAATTTTAGGGTGGGCGTACTACATACAGAGCCTTATTTGATTTCTACCTCTTTAACAGGCCTGAGTTTGCATGAATTACCTGTTATCGAATTGATGCATAACATTTATTGGATTCTGTTAATCGCGAACAGGAAGGGAATCTATTATCATCGTTTTATCTAACCTTTTAAGCTTAAAAGTAGCCTCTTCATTTTCCTTGTCTAAGTATCGGAGTCACTTATTTTATCACTGTACCCTTTTGTAAAATTTCAGTCAATTTTTTAGTGTTCTTGCCATGATTTGATTCATTAATGATTTCACGTACATTTTTATGCATTTGGTCGTAGCTTATAACTTGTGTTTTACTTATTGCTATTTAAAAAAAAAAAGATAAAAATGTACCAGAGAACAGCTAACTCACGGTTTGACCCCGAACCTCGTAGTATAAAACAGTATTTCACTGTCAAAATTTCAATGAAAAACCGACCATTATCACCTTAAAGTAAATTTTGTAAAGATTGAATTTTCTGGCTAAATAAATATTGGTTCTCTGAATGTGATAAAGAAATTCAAATCGATACAGGATCTTTGAAAGGGATAATTCCCGAGGAAGGGGGATAAAAGACAGACGGGGGACATTGTAGGGCTCCGATTGTCATCCAGAATCCATTGTTATAAACAGGTATTGACACGATGTTTACAGGTATAATAAATCTGTATTTTGAGCTAAATACATTTATCTGCAAGTGGCCTCTTTCACCCGTAAGAAACTGATTTTGGTACAAATTAAAAAAATATAAAGAGCACTCTTTCGTAACAAATAGTTGACAATAATTGATACAGAAGCATTTTGTATCCAGAAATTGAACGGAGTTTCTACATAGAAGATGACAAATCATTTTAAAAGAAATTTCATTTTTAAATATTTAGGTTAATGCACACTCGTACCTGAGATTGCATAGCAGCGTTATTACTTTTTATTATATTTTGAAGATTAAGATATAGCAGTTTTTTGGCAATTTTGCCATTGCCCATTGGACAGTGACAAAATATAGCATAATAAAACTTCAAAAAGTTTCAGATATAACCTTAACATTTATAAGTGTTTTGAGTGGCTTAAGTTTACTATTGCAAGCAATAGAATATTTTGTAAATGTAATTACGGTACTAGTAATAACATATCTCTTCTCGAGGCTAAATCTTTAGACAATTTTACAGAAATTGCTTTTTTTTAGACGAGCAACTTTGTTGTTTATTGCATTTTAAAAAGATATTTTCAAAGTACTTTATTTTTGGATAAATCGTAAATAATCGTAAATAAATAAATGGTTATATTGTCGATTCGGAGTAGTTCAAAACATAGCATACCGGGAGAGGGGTGTGTGTATGAGAGACACAAATACTAGGTATACGTAATAAATATTCACAAAATCCCATTCAAAGAGGTACAAGAAAATGGGGACCAATTCATACGCCAAATCGTATATTAAATTACACATATACGATAGTCCCTCTCGTCAGTGTTGGGGTTGGGGTACGTTTGCGATTGAGGTACTGCAGGTCTATGAGCGACCATGATTCAGCAAGACAGTAATTCCACTAAATCACGTTTATTCTTCTTTAAAAAAAGTTGAATTCAATTTGACGACCTGTTTGATAATTACAGGGTTATGAAAAACAATACTGTACAATGTTTGATATTGACTTCGCTAGTCCTCGTTCGTTAATCGGCTTTCTGCACACTGTCCCATTACGAGGCGTAACACCATAGCGTGATTTCCTTTGTACCCACGCTGCACATTTGAGTGTTACCTTTGGAAATTCAATAAGACTATTTCTATAGACACGCCAGTATAGGTTAATTTACCGCTGTCTGACTGTTACCGATATGGAGCTGATATTAGTCATTTAGTCATATAATTCATATCCAATTTCCTCATTCTATCAAGAGCATCACGTAAGGTTGGAAGAAAACCAACAAAAGGAGGGATCGCGTGTAATCCTAAGATCCCTTTTGATGTAATGGTATGAAATAGTAGAGATTTAACACTTCCAAGAATGGCAGCTAATATTCTGTCATTAAATTGCACCTTTTTAACTAATGACAGACGGGAGAGAGAGGGGGTTGAGGGGACTGAGTTTGAATGCCCCACACCCATCCCATATTCAACAAAACTGCCCCTGTCTTATAATAACCCTCCCCTTCCCAAAAAAGTTTTTTGAATATTTTACATTCGTGCAATATACAGAGTCCGTATAATCTTGCGTGTACATTTTCAGAGCATTTTAACTAGTTGGATATTTGAGGTGCCAGAAAACCCCCAGACACATAAGCTATTTTGGTGTAGCAGTGTTTCTTGATTTGGGATACATGTGGGAATATTCAATTAAAGCCCATAAATCGCTTCATCTGCTCCGTTGACAATTATTACTGAGCGATGGAACAACCATCGGAATTAAAAGGACTTAATTATGTAAAGTCACAAATAACGTCGCGCTCTGATTCGAAAGAAGATAACCTTTTAAATTTATATACCTATATCTTTTTATCCGCGTTCATCCTCTCGTAGTTGTAGGTGATCAATCCTCCTAGCGGATCCTGGCAGGATTATCCCAACAGTCATAGATATTATGTAAAAAATATCATGTTATTTTATTCCCATAATTCCAGATTATGTAATTGTTTTATTTTCAAGCCGCGTTCTACCTTTAAATCTGGTCATTCGTCGAAGTTGCATCAAAACCATTGATTTAAGGAAATCTATCGTACACTGGTTGTGCGTTCTTACACCAGAGTGGTTTAAGTTGTGATCTGTCATCAAACTTTCTGATTTCAGTTTGGATTTAAGTTACGTGCGTTGTTCGTTATTGTAAGTATCTTTGACAATTACATACATGTATTCTGAACATGTTTATATGACGGGGAAAATCCTAATGATTTTATAAACAAGTATGCAATTAGATGTTCACAGAGTGAGAGACAGAGAGAGAGAGAGAGTTGCATAAAATTGCAAGTAAACCCCGATATACAATAGTGTTCTATCATGAATATTTAAATGGAAGAGTGATTTGCAAATATAAAGTTTATTTTATGATGCGGCAGCTAAAAGTTTTCAATAAGCCGATTTATGACAGCTTTTTTGGGCCAAAATGATGGAAGATGAAGTAATGGATTTGGTCATAAAAAAAATATTCAAAGTTTTTTTTTTTTTTATATATATTTGGCAAGCACTCCCTTCTTATGAAACCATTGTGCAAAATGATGGAATAGGTCATACTAAAATATCAAATAATTATTTGCCATCATTTTAAAGTTTTATTTGATGATAAAATGTTTCTTTTTAATATGCACTGTTCAAGGTGGAACATATATGATTCCATTTGTCAGTGTCTTCTTCTTCTGTCTCTCCGCGAGTTCAAGTATCTTTCGACTTTCGATCGTGCAGATTTTATTTAATTCATACCCCCCCCCCCCTCCAATAAAACATCCTGTTTTTCAAACGTGGGTTGTTCTTGCATTTTGTTTAAGGAGGCTGGGGGGTCAACAAATTAACCACAAATTAACCACCAGATTTAACTTAATTTTTTAGATATGATATCTTAAGCTGTCAACTATCATTTGGCAAAGAAAAATTTCAAAAAATTTAGTTTTAAAATTTGATCATTTTCTGTATCTTCATATGGAGCTCTTCTTCTAAAGGAGATCAATATAGTCTAAAAATGGTCACAACCCCCCAGCCTCTTTAATTCAAGGTCAAAGGTCAAAATTACTATTGCCTCGAGTAAAACATTTTTTTCCCGACCCATATCTAAAAATCTAGAACTTCATAACAAAATGTTCTTGTGCCGATATTGTACATTAACCTTGATTTTGGTGTCACATCTATAGAACGCCAAGGTTGTTGAAATTTTTTTTTCGGATATCACAAAAGAGAAAGATTTGATGTTTTACGTTGTTCTGATAGAGGTGGGTTAACACTGATTCAAAGTCGTATCATAAATGCCAAGGTCATTATACATGTAAGCAACGAATTAGGATATTTATGGAGAATATTCGAAGTTATATTTTCAATTTTTCGATGCCAAGTATTTTTGCTAAGTCTAGAAATCGCAGTTTTGCTATTATCGAAGATCGATATTCCATTACCGAAAAATTTTCTTATCTATACCGAAAATATTTATATATCGTTACCGAAAATTCCGAGTCAATGTATAGCATATCCAAAAATTTCTCTTAAATGCATATTCCGTTAGCTAGGTCAAACAGTTACCCTCTGTTCACTTAGGGGAAGTGGTTGGGGACTTTGAAAAGGATAATTTTAAGGATTTTAAGTAAAAATCAGCATTATTAAAAAAAATATATTTACAATTAATGTGTCTACAAAAGCCTCACTGTCTAATGCTTGTATCCTGATACATGTTGTTGTCTGTACCTGTTTGATAAAGGCAAAAGAAGGGAGATATCTGGATCATTTATATAAACTTCGAGTGCAATGTTTCATTGGAAATCTGACCAGTTTTCAAAGTTTTCGGTAATGCAATGCAATTATTTCACATCCAGTCAGCTGGGATTTTTTTTTGAAACAAAGTGTCCACGAAAGAATACATAAGGAATTTAGAAGTTAGTTTTCAGTACAAATGTATTAGTTTGACATTTGGTTACGTTTGCTTTGCAAATATGAAAAGCTCTCCTTGAAGTTTCAAATCTTTGATTGTACGGTATGGGGATATTTTCACACTTTTGGTGGAAACCAGATATAAACATTACTTAGTTCTTTGTTTGCCTGTATTGATCTAGTTCCTCAAACACATAAACTCAGTTATACTTCCATATTAGTCTGGACGGTATGCCAAAGGCCCGCGTTCATTTATCAGAATCACAAAAAAGTAGACCACTCACAACGTACACAGTCTGGTAGATTTTTGATGCTATGTTATATAAATTTTAATGATGGTTTTGTCAACAATGATATACGTAAAGTGGGGCGAATGGCAAATATTGGTCTTATCAGACAAACGCAGACTTCATTGTGACGCGAGAAATGTTGTAAAGAGGACTCAAAATATTCCTCATTGGACGAAAATGTACTGTTAATAACACTTATAAAATACCGACTGAGATGTACACATAGTACATGTATGTGTCATCGTAGAATATACCAAAAGATGAATGTAGTTCGCAATTTATATTCCCTGAAGACCCTTATCTCTCTCTCTCTCTCTCTCTCTCTCTCTCTCTCTCTCTCTCTCTCTCTCTGCTAAATTTTAAAACAGTAACAAGCATGCAGAAACAGCTAAACCTCTTCTCCCAGTTTTGCAATTTCTTCTGTATGCTAAATACTCGTGTCCTCCTCAAGAATGATTCAAACTGGGGCAGAGATTTTAGAACCAAAATATCGCAGTAGAAAACACGATCCTCACTTTTTTCGTTTATTGCTAGGCCTGCATTATAAGCAAATCGGAGATATTGATTCTTCAAATTAGGGGTATAATTACATTGGGAATTAACAAATAAATCGGGATACAGCATGTTTGATTTTTTTGTTAAAATACAGAAACCGGGATAACCCGAGCAAGCAGAGGATGTTTACTAACCTTTGAAGTGACAAGGTTTTGTTTGACTGCAATAAGCTATTCTGTGTATTTTTCTATGAAATAGAATAATTAACGATTAACAGAGCGCTCCAACAAATACAATTATATTTCTGTTGTAGTAAATTTAACTTTGTCCCAGAGAGAGAGGGGGAGAGAGAGAAAAATGAGATAAAGAACCTCGGTCCCATTGACACAGGAATATTTTGAAAGGCATGACATTGATTTTTTTTTTTTCAAATGTAAGATCTAAGAATTGTGGGTTTTTTTTTTCCAGATACTACAACAAATGTTATGTCTTCATTGTCAACCTTATTATATTAGAGTTGTTTGACTTGAACACAATTCGAGACAATTTTGTCGCGTGATTTTACAATGCATGAAAGTTAACTCAAATGAACATGAAAAATTAAATAAAACCGATATGCTTTTTTTAATGTTTTGATAACACAATTTATGTGATATGTTTTGTCGAATTTTGTGTTTACAAAGACTCGATGTATCTTATACCTAAATTTGTTTTCATTCAATTACATAGGTAGATGTTGCCGACTCCTAGACGCCGCCTAATACACTAAGGTAATATATATCAATTACTTCCCGAAACTTGGTTTTTAACTCTTCCGTGCTACTGAAATTTTGTTTTTTTAAAGGGCACATGCTAAAAGTAAGTGCATGTTAAATTTAATTAATACATAAATATACCCGGTTGTTAAATAAAGAAACTGAATTTCATGGCTTAAATAATTGTAGAAAATCATTCATTGAAATTCATTTTTCTATTAGACTTCGTTTGTCGTGTATATTATCTTTAATATAATCAATGGTTACGGCAACCTTGAACAACATCCTGAAGCTAAAGGGTATTACACACAGACATGGATAAAATGGGTTACCTTGGGCTATGCCGCTTTAATATTTTTTATCTGTAACACATTGATTATTAAAAAACAAAGAAAAACATGGGATATCTGTGCAGCTTTCACAGATTTTGTAATCCTTTATTAAAAAATAAAACTGATAGACATCTTATCGACCCAGTAGATCAAAATCGTGCGAATTTACAACGGTAACATGTAAAATTCTAACCGATAAGCCTTGTTAAATGTGCATAATTTAGGAAACGATGTTACCCTACTAAATGAAAGTGCACATTAAAAGCGCATGATCTTAATATGATAATAGATCTTTTATTTATTTAGTCTGATATGATCGTCTGGCATTTCCCCATTTGTGTTCAATAGGCTTTCGTGTTTCCATTTAAGACTGTTTAACAGTTTGAACATGTGCAGAATGGAGCTAACTTCCTTAAGAGGATTTCTCTGTAAAATCGATATTGACTACAAATCTTAGTTCTTTTTACATAGACATGTCTTCTAATCACTTTAGGATGCCTTCTTGATGTTTTTCTACCAAGTTAGTATCAAAAATTGGCCATATTTCAGATTTAAGCCATGGCTTCTTAGATCTGTTTTATCAGAAGATAGAGATCAGATTAGCTAAGTAATGCTCGAGTTCGATTGAAATATCACCGTAACCCAAGACCACAGCGTCTTAGATAGGAGGGGATCCTTTCAATAGAAAAGTTTAATATTGCCAATATCTGATCAATTCAGAACTTTAACAGTATTGTTGTATTATCATTGTGCACAAGAGATTATAATGTGTATATAATTTTATATCTTGTAGCAGTATTAAATGAAGTCTAAAGTAGTGTCAAAACCGTCAAAGTGATACTTCTATCTGAACAACGCAAAAATAAATTCCACCTGGAGGAAGTTGTCTGTAGTTTCCCCACTTTTTCAGTTTTCAAAATCATGCAACATTTTATTTCTTTTTCGTCTAAAGTTACACTACTTGGGGTTAGTTATGACATAATTTGTCTGGGAATGCCTCCTTTTTTATCAACACGCTTGGTGATTAATAGCGAAAATGCATTGGTACCCCTCGGGCAGGCTTGCTACAAATAATCATGAAATAGTGCAATCAATTTAAACCATAAAAAGAATGAGTTTCTCTGCGATCGATGAATGGAGGAACATGTAATTAATTAAAGCAGATGACAAGTGATGAAAAATGGACAAAACGAAGCGTACTGACAGTTCTTTATGTAGAGTTCAATGAAATCTTGTCACCAGTCGTGGTCCAATTAATTTTATTTCATGTTTTATTTTCTATCATCATTAGCCCTCTGTTCTTACGACTCTTTGATCTGCAATTCTTGTAAAAATAATTAAATATTGTAAGTGCAGGAATTAATCAAATTAGGACATTTAGTGCACGCGCATTTGGCTACATGAACATGTTTATGCATATCAAACTTGTACTGAATATGCTTTAAGGTGCATTCTTATTTTCGATTTAGCTTTTATGTTTTTTAAGGTAAAAGTGTACACATTTTTTAGACGCTTTACTTGTCCCCATGGTTACAAAGTGAGAATGGATGGAAATGGTGAGAACTTAGCATCCAGTAATGGAATATTCTCCACTTTCCTGTGTCTCTCAGGTCCACCAAATGTGACAGTGTAGGTTTTCAAACAAAAAATCGTAAAACATTCATTTCATTGCGATGTCCCGACGACATTAAAATGTAAAGATATTTTAAAAACGTCCACTGGGTTAAAGCATTTATTTAGGTAAATGAAATGTCGCCAAACAACAGACCCACAACCATTAGTGCTCTGTCTGCCACAATAAAATGAGAAGTCGTATTAAATAAAATGTAGAAAAATTTGAGTAGTTAGCTTAAATTCTTTACCGTACCCACTACCCCACGATGCGGTCACCTTTGTCTCAAGAACTAGACACGTTAATTTGAGAACTAACCGTTTACGCTATTTTTCACAATTTAATTTTGTCTTTGGTGAAACTTTTCTCTCGTCTACAGAAATTCCAATGCGATATTTATCAAAAGTAACAAATACTTGGCGAACAGGTCCATGGGATATAGATCAAAAGCTGGACCCCGGGGCCTGAGGGTGGGGCTCTGTGCGCGATAGATAGTGATATAATATATATATATTGATCGGCCGAGGTCAGTCTGACTGTGCTTGTACGCAGTTGTCAGCTGTTGGCTCACACGGACAGTTATTTTGACACGGGATGTAAAAAACGCACGTGTAGAGAATTTCAAGAATTTACCAAAGTATATTCGATATAGGCATATAGTATTTCAGGAGGTCTATTTCACTGGTAAGGTTTATTTAATTTATTGCAAAAGAAATAATTCTTATGAATTCATTATTCAAATATTGTCTAATGATGTTATATTAGTATTTTTTCTCGTGACGATAGAATGACATGTTTGTAAAATTGTCTATTTGAACGAATTTAAATCTGTAAGTAATATAATGTAGAATATAGAATATGATTCATCCCTACGTGGATATCAATATTAATTACATCAAAAATTATTATAAATACTTTAAACAACGATAATTAAACAAATTTTTAGCTTAGAATTAAATAATGAATGTGCAGACAATGTCTGAAACGTTGAGTCATAGTAGTTTATAGTACTTAGTTCATACAAATTGTCTACTTTATAATAACGGACGAAGTCAAAGATCAGCCCCTTCGTTTTTGGTCTGAATGCATTTTCTCCAAACATAAAGGTGTCTTTGTTGAAATAAAAAACAATTTTTTTCTATTTCCGTTGGAAAAGCCACAAAATGGCTAATTCTGAATGAAGGGATAGGTTGACTTTCTTGTATTCATTATTATTAGGTAATTTCAACCTTGAAAATACGTTGATTTCTTCTGACTGGAATGCCAAATCCCGCACTTTTGTCATACTGATCTTCTCTTAGCAGTTAATTACATTTTTCCGTGTGGTGTGAAATTTGTGAGGTAGATCTTCTCGAATGTCACGACCCTTGTTAGAAGAAGTATTAAAACCAGTGGTTAGGCTTCATAATATATGTTTGTAAATGTTGGAAAGGGTTATTATGACTTTTTAATAGACACTTTTAAAAATGCTAGCAAAAGTTTGTTGAAAAATAATTTAACATATAACTTGAAACGAACCATGTCATGTTATTCTGAATTTAACTATTCTGAATGATTTGGAAGCATTTTTGGCCCACTTTTTACAGAAATTTCCGAGAGGAGTCTCTTTAAGGGAGGGACACTTGTTACATTGTACTTTTAACTGGTGATATATTTAGCCCACTTTTACAGAGATTCATCGGGAGGAGTTTTTTTAGGGAGGGATTTTTGTTACATTGTACTTTTAACATGCTTAATTATACGGTCTCCTCACAATTTTATGCCGTACACAGGCCCCTGTATCTTTTTAAAGTCTCTTCTGATATTTAAACGTAGCTTTACCGTGAGTTGACACTTTAATGCGTTTTGAGAATTTTATTAAATTAGTGCGGGCGTTATCTCACTAACCACAGAACGGGGTGCAGACCCACGCCAGGCGTAAACCATACAGGTTCACGTTCTTTTTCAAAGAGTCTCGGAGTCGGAATGCATGGATAACTGGGAGATTTTCACAGATCCGTGTGTGAAGTTCCTGATATGTTGTTTTAGAATTGGATTAGTAACTTCCATTACGATTATTGTTCTTACCAATCGTGTAATGGAGTTTACTTACTGAATTCTACATAAACAAGGATATATGTTTGAAGGTTGGTTAAATTCTGATTCACTTTTAATAACTATACGTCGCCATTCCTAATATTGATAAATGAATCAAGGTACATGTACAGTTTATTACTTTGTACTGGATGCATGTTCTTGTAACATCAATTTAAGATTTTAAACCTCCAATTTTTGACATGCATGTAATCTGACCTGGATTATTTTTCTCCATGTCGGAGAGTCTGAAATGGCTGATTTTTTCATGTTGCAGCAAGATATCAGATTATGACGTCATGTGCTTAACAAATCTTTTGTTTTCTTAGTTTGGAGTATAAACAGAATCAAAGAGAAAATACGTTACTGTTTTAAAAACAAACATATAAAGTGATTAAAGGCCGGTAGATTAAACATTGGTTGAGAATAATGTCAATTGTGGCTTAACTTAATCTAATTTTTACAGAAGGATCTGCTGTAAGTCCATGTTCTTTGGTTTGTGAAAGGTTTTGCCAGTCTTTATTAATTCTCTTTAGAGGTCTGTCAATCGCCTGACAAGTTGAAGTGGAGCTTAAATTAAATTTTGATCAGGGATCGATGTCTTGTGTAGAGCGATTAGAAATCAGATTATGTTGGCAAATCCTACTTTACAATATAGAACATCAAATCAGCGCCATTAGTTGATTGATTTCTTCAATGACTATATTTGTACATTCAATGAGCAGCGACAGCTGTCCGAGTACTTAAGTTCTATAAAAGGTTATAAATTATTTTTGTCAACAAAGTGAGAATGTTTTTATTGAGACTTTCAAAAACACGAGTTATAGTTGAAGGACATATCCCTTGACACCACAAGAGCCCAGGGGGTGCGGATGCGGACGGCGCCTCATATAAATTTTCTCGTGACAGACATGGTATGTCGTTTTGGCACGATGTTGTTTTTTTTTTTATTTTCTGTCAATAATTTCATTTGTAACTTTATAAGTTTTCCACTACATGCATGTGTTTGACTTTTTTTTTCGTCTTGGAGAGGTCGAACTCGCACATGAAGAAATACCAATACATGCAATAAACACATGTTTAAGTTGGGAATGTCAGTACTACTAAGTTGATTTGCTGATATTAGCCAGTTTGATTATTGGAATAAGAATTAAAGACGGTTGCTAAATCAATTTTTAACCTGATCAGTCCGCGAGAGGTACCTCTAGGTCCGTTATAATTGAATTCGTCAGACCAAAATCATTGGTAATTAACACCTCAGTAATGTAGTTATCACCCCCTAGAAAAGGATTGGGCAGGACCGATGGTCTGACCCCGTCAAAGGTAAATTGGATAATTCTCCGTTCTCAGTTGAATAACAGAATACCGGAAATCATCCCTGTAGATAAGAGTAATCGCCCTTTTAAGAGGTGTTAGACTGTACACAACTTACAAATACAGACACTACATGAAAATGAAGATCTTATTATATAATTAGTGTAATCATCGATTTTCTTTTTTTTCTTCTTCAAGAAATAGAAGTATGGCTCAGGGGACATTCATGCAAGACATAGATCGTCGGTTAAGAATAAGGGTATAGGCTGGTCGAATTGTAATTTCTTATGCTTATCTAATTAATTTCTCTACTTCGTGGTTTCGCATTCATTCTGACTTTCCTGTGTATTTCAGGTATGTAGATAATACTTCCATTAGGGCGATGAATTTCTCGAGAACAATGGATAACATTGGCAATAAGTCAATACTTTAACTATATTGAACATTATTGCGGTTCTGGAAAAATAATGAACAGAATTGTGTTTGGTGGTCCTTCGCCAAAAACAAAGCCTTGCCTTTTCTTATCGGAAACAAATTAGTCTCGGACCACCGGAACATTGTCTTAAGTTGGCGATTGTCATCAGTCAGTTCAGGTATCGAACTCTGCAGATCTCAATCAGGGACTGGCATGACCTCATGTCAATAGAATTCCGCTATTTTTAATATGCACTAACACGCTTGTATCTCTCTGTATACTCCGGTATCCGCTATTGTAAACAAAGAATGCAAAATTGTTTCTAATTTACGATCCGGAATGATGAAGGGAATTTAAACAGATCGAATGGACAGCAAACATTGATCTTTTGGCCTTGTTTAACTTGTATCTACATAAGGCCTTTATTGTGGACATAAAATCTCAGCAAAGGGTGGTACTAGTGTTAAAATAAAGGTTCTCCCAAAACACACCCCGTCATCAAACCTCCGTCACTCAATCTTTGTCCGAGGAATTCCGAGTATTTGATGGTTAAGTTGACAGCTGAGTTCTCTTAAACGTTCAAGTATGTGTCCACCGGACAAGGAGTTAATTAAAAACTGAAAGGAAGCTTTGATTAGATCGGTACGATGAAAGTGATTTAAAGGATTCTCGTATAAAAAGTAAGGAGACCCTTATGATATCATTCTTTGAATTGTTTGAATTTTATTTTTCTTTGAGGTTGACTTTGAATGGATTATGCATTATTTAAAAGCTGGAAAAATTACGTTTGAGAAATAATCAACACCTTTTTAATTCCATGTTTCTTGTTTTTGCAAAAAGGAAATTTTGGCAGCTAACAAAAATGATTTCAGATCAGCAACTCCCTCCTTTTTAATCCTGTGTCGTAAGTTTGTTAAAAATAAATTAGGGTGTAATGAATTAATTCCTTCAAACTTGAACAGGCTTATTTAAAACCACATTTAGACTCCGTAATCCGATTGTGCCGGTTTCTTTTCAGAATTTGTGCTTATGTGTATAATGGAAAAATAAGAGACTTCGGTAATAATATTCCACGCAGATGATATTTTGATTAACGAACAAACACATATAATTTGATATGCCTGGGTTTTTGAGTGAAGACGATATGTCTAAATTTGTTGTATTTGGATTTTCCTCCTTCAACTAGCGGTATGTAACGCAATAATTTAATATTCTCTTATTATCAACACATGCAGAGCTTTGCCACAGAAATTTGATCTGTAAATATTGCATTTGTTGAAAAGAATTCATCTCGTTTTAAGAAGGTAAATTAAGCTCTTCCAATTTATCTATACCTATTCAGACTTTTATGATGCATATAAGTTTTCATGTATTTTTATGTAAATACCTCTCCTTCGAGTGACTTTTAGAATTATGTAAACCCAATCCCGTTTCAACAACTTTTTTCAATTCTGTTAAAATTATTCTTAGCTGTATTTATTAAAAAAAAAAAAATTAAACATTTTGCTGTGCATATTTAAACAGCAAAGAAATAATTCTGACTAAATAAAAAATTAAACAAAATTAAAATGATTGCATATATCCTTGTGGAACTGTGGATAGAATTTCACCGTGTTGTACCTATTGAGTAAGACTTTTATTACAATCTTGTAGAGAAATTTACACGTTAACGGTGTGATAAAATTTGCGATATTTACCAAATCTCCGTTTTATTGACACATTATCAAAGATGTGTCAATAAGCAACAGCGCTACGAGTGGTAATGAGATTAGGTTTGTACAGGGGGTGTGGGTCCACCATACACCCGACATGCTAAAATTGACACAAAATTCTATCAAAAGTCAACACTTTATTCAGTATGGACAAGGCTTGAGATATTATTGAACATATTCTAAAACGGTAATAACGCGGTGAATATAAAATATTATGGCTTTTTACTCGTTTTACAAAAACAAGTTTGTTGCATAAACGCCCCCTTGACAGGGAAATTAATATTTAACTTCGAAAGTCAAAACTGCATTTGAAAGAAAAGGACCAAACATTTGATATTATGACATTTTATCAATAGAGATGAGAACAAACGAAAATAGTGGAGGTTTGCAGGTTGTTTTGTGATAACTATATTGATTCTTCTAACTTGTAAATGGCTGCAAACTCGACAGTTTACGAGATTTACGCACTCTTACAATATGATGCTACTTGTAGTAATATGAACTAATTTCCGATAGTGCAATCCGATACACATAACGCGATTTCAGCATTATTTTTCCAGTCTTGTGAAGTTGTGAGCAGAGTATAAATCTAATTTTATTTCCCAGGTGAAGTGCTCATGCATTCCAATACGCCGTCCTCACGTAAAATTAAATTTCACACCCATTTTCTGGGTTATGATGTGTTTACTCAGTTTGTCTTGTTCTATTTCAGATGGAGTACCCAGATCAACTTGTCGTGGAAATTCCTGTCTGGGTCTGCGGTACGCAGAAATGGGTCACGGGCCTGACTAAGAGAACTACATGTGATGACGTCATTTACGCTTTACTCTACAATGACGGTAAACATGAAATAGAAAACACAGACAAATACACTATTTTCGAGAGATGGCGTGACGTGGAGAGACCTCTTCAGGGCAGAACCAAAATACTCAAAATTTGGCGCGCATGGGGAGCTGAGCAGTGTAGCGTCCAACTCACAATGAGACACGCCGACGAGATCGGTGAATACGGAGAATTTCTTCACTCTCGTCGGAGACGACATCGAAGAACCAAACATAAAGAGCGGGAACCACGCAGACATTCCAAGTCTAAAACAGACCAGCGAAATGGCAGCTCAGAGTCTCGTTTGAAGACGATGGAAGAACTAGCGAAATTAGTGATTCAACAAGAAAGAAGATTGCACGATATAGGGCACAGGATAGAAAACACGGACCAAAAGATTTTCCATATTGAATCCGAACTTCACGAGTGTCGTGTGGCCAAAGATGGTGAGAACTACCTCCAAGAAGCATATCTTAATTCAGGACAAGATGATAGTATGACGGAATTCTTGAGAAATGTTGAGCCCGAAAACTTGGAAATGTATATTCAGTTCTGTGAACGCGTGATTCAACTCGACGACAAAATTCAAAATGAGGAATCGAAAATAATGGACCTGTCCGAGCAAATTCATGAACAGAGTACATTGAACGACGCATTTCATAATGCCGACATGTACAATACAAATGTTACGGACGGGAATCTCGAAACGGAACTTGCCTATCTGCAGGCAGACCTAAACCGTATTGTGTCCGCAAACATGATGCAGAAATATAAAGCAGTGGAGATTACGAAAGAAATTGACTACTGTGATAGAGTTTTACATCAAAAGCAAGAGATTATTCAACAGCTGCAGAAAGAGCTTGAGTACTTAGAAAAATGTGACGAAATTGTAGAGGAGTTACCAAAACAGAAACATAATCAATCTGTAGATTTCTTCCACACGAGCACTCCAATAAGCCATCATACCGCATCCAAAGTCAACCAGTCAACAAAACGCGTAGAGGACAATGATGCTGACTATGTTAATATTGGCGCCATCATGGAATGGCAAGAACAGGAAGAACAAGTTAGCACATGCGCACAAGGCATCTACGAACACGAGGCTGGAGAAAATAGTGCGAAGAAACACTCCTTTGACACAGAAGACTCTTTTTCAGTGGATACAGACAATACTTCTAACGATTCACAGTTTGGGTCAGTCAACCAGAGGGACAAATTCTCAAATAAATTCAACCAAACTCGACCTCTGTTCCAGTTTCCAGCAACCAACTCTTTGGACAATGACGAACTTATCAGTGAACGAATTCAGAAAGAAATATATGCCTACAAAAGTCCCCGTAAGTGCAGCGATTTTACTCGCAGTTTGACGAGTCTCAACGGTGATCGGTCATTTGCGTGCACGAAGAGCGTAGACGAAAATGATTCCAATTCAGACACAGGTCTGAGTTCCATGCACAGTGACGAATCTCCTAATTTATTAGAAACCCTTGTATAAAATGTCCCAAATGTAATCACCATTTGTGTTCACATAAAAAACTATTATTTTGACAATATTTGTCAGAACTTTGATAAAATGATTATTCAACCAATATTTCTCCTTGTCTTTTTCTTTCAATATCAGACACATGGGAAAACTTGCAAACCAAACTTAAGCAGTTTTTTTAAAGTAGTTCAGAACCTTGTTTACATACTTATGTAGCTTTATGTTCTTTACTTGTATGCCAAATTTTATTGAAATCGGACCAAAACAATGCAGAAAGCATTTTGAAAGAATTTTAATAAAAACTGTAGTTATGTGGCAACACCATTCAGCAAAATCAAAAATCAATCTTGGTTAAGTCTACTTATATACCAAGCTTTACTAAAAAAACATTTCACGAAAGAATTTGCAATTATTTCTGGGAACACTATATGCCACTGACTTGTATTATTGTTTTGTTATACCGGTATTTATACAGAAAAATCTTCCAGTTTGTGAGTTTCTTTGTCCAAGTTTAAACTTTAATTCATATATGAATATTCCAGTATTGCATGCAATCTAAAAATTTGTAAGAATCTTTCAAAATGGATTAACATTATAAATAATGTATATTGCAAAGCACCATATAAGTTTAATTGAGTATCAAGTTAGCCGCAAACTTTCCACGTGTTGATCATGATACCCTTGATTAATGTCATATGATGAAGCCAATGATTTTCTGCAAATGCTACGGCACTGCTCGATGATGTACAACAAAATGAAAATATAGTGTTAAAAATATTGTCGGTATGTCATTGGCATATGTATAACATACTCGTACATTCAAAGTAAGGTTTATTGTTATACCTTTAAAAATTGCTTCTTGTATAAAACTACACTGAAAAAAGTCTAACATTTCCAATGTTTTACTGAGCGGTAAAAAAAAATCGATGTTGGACGACTGAGTGTGATATTGGACCTGACCTGTCGATGAGATATTGGACCGCTATGACGTTTTCACATCGCACTGTAGACGGGATCAAGTATATCTTATCAGTTATGGCAAATATAGAAGACAGCGCAAGATATGTCAAAACAGAAAGTATCACAAAATATTTATTGACTGTGTTTCGGTTTGATGGATTCTGAAAAACTCCAAAGAACTTCTAGAAAATTGAAAATCTCAAACTTTTAAAACACAATAGCATCACAACATATGACTTTTCTATGCATTATTCAACCATTCCTTACAATAAATTGAACAGACTTTTAGACAATTGCTTCCTCAATAAAAATGGAACTCGGGAGTTTTCATATCTTGTAATTGGTCATCTACAAAACTACTTTGTCAAAAATTATTCTAATTCTACATATACAAGTACTCTGAAGTAGACAGTTGCCTACAACTAATTATGTTGAATTATGTTGAACTTGTATTTAGAACATATATTTATTACATTTAAAGTTAAGACTTTATCAAGTTAAAGTTGTATAATGAGTCAAAATCAAGTGTTTCTTTTAAGATAATTGTATCATAAAAGATTTATGTGAAATATGAATAAAGCGAAGCTTTGACTACTCAACTGCACTGTAAAACAAGAGAAAAAAAACTGCAAAATGTAAGTGCCGGAAAAGCAAAGGTTGTACATGTATCTATCGCTTAGTTGTTATCGTCGATGTCAACAATGTAAGGTCACGCGACTTTTATTCTTAAACAAGTAATAGCTTTTCAAAAAGCTTGCCTGACTAATCAATCAATATCTATGGAACGTATAAGCAAGAGAGGTGCTATAAACGTTTCCGTCATCAAGGAGCGACATAGTTGCGATACTTCATTACACAAGATGTACAATTGACTTTCTCAAATCTCATAACCAAATACTGCAGATTAACGAATATATATGACATGCCACTATTCAATCATTTATTAGTTAGCCCACGGCCTGACAAGTTTCGTTGGGATGAAACTCTAACTTTAAGTGCGATAGCGTAGATTATAATTTTGGGGAAAATAGTTAGATGATTTTTAAAGAAATTCATATTACATGTACTCTCTTACTAGAGGGCGCACTTCTCTGGTCAGTGATAGATTGATGAGGTGGCCTCTTTTTATAGACTGGTCTGTCTTCCGTCGTTCTCGACGTCGAAGTAAATTATGAACAGTTTTAACTGCCTTTTCTTGAAGTGTTTGAGACAAAAATGCTCCAATGCTGCTCTAGAACTCAAAGTAAATGGACTGTACACTTTATAGCTAGAGCAAAACAAGATACTAATAATACCCCCCCCCCCCCCCGGACGAAACTCATATACATGTACATGTATTATAAATGAGTTTAAAAATACATCTTTATGTGCAGTTTTAAAATTGTTTAGTTTTTCTTTTTAATCGATTTCAGTACCTTTTTTCATAATTATAATAACGTGCTTTTATATGAAATGAAAACTAGTACAGATCATGATGTCTTCTTCATTTTGCCGATTCTTTGCTTAGAACCTTACGGGAGTTAAGCTCATTCCTTTATGGGTACTGACCTACTATTGTCACTATCCTTGTTCATCACAAAGCATGAAATGATATTCTACTGGCTGACTTTCTAAGCTTTTTTAAAAACCTAACCTTGTAACGTACATTATTAATAAATGTAATATTGAAAGTAAAGGTGGGAAACAGACTGAATCAAGAAGGGATGTCCCATTTACTAGGTGGAGGGAGTTTGTTTATGATTGGACTAGTTCACTTATGGGATAAATAGTAAGAATAATCAGCAAATCCATTGCTTTAGTGTTGCCTGCCCATATACAATGTGTTCTTTTAAAAATGAGATAAAATTTACAGTTAATAAAAAATCGGAAGCTTAAGAATCAGGTTAAAAGAATAAACGTTATTTATTTCCATAGAAGTTATCACAACCATATTCAATAGAACAAACCAAGAAAAAGGCGCGAAGATAACTTACATGTGACATTTGGCGCGAAATGACTGTGTCACCCCTTTTGTATAAGGCAAATGGACTGATCCAGTAGTTTAGAAACGCAGAAAAAATGTTACACGGACATGCCCGTACAAAGAATAAACATGTGCATGCCAAAAAACTGAAGGAATTGAACATATCATTATTTTGCATCAGTAATACGATTATTTCTTCAGCAAACTGTATTTGTTTAAATGCAGGTAACATATTCCAGTGTAAATCAGCTTCCAGAAAATCTAGTTCATTAAGAATGATCGCTTAGTTTCGGATCTTGAAAATATTAATCCTTATACTGCCTGACGCACGTGGCGTCAGGCAACAAAAATAAAAAATGAAACTTGTAAACAACATTGAATTGCCGCAAGCAAAAGTGAGGAATAAGTTCTGATCAACTTTATTAAGGATTGTATCAAAATCCTCGATCATCCGACATTTATATCTATGGAATTGACACCATGGTAACTTTGTCAACTTTTCTGCGCATGATTACAATAAAGAGGAAAAAGTAAAGCAATATTTTTGTGTTGGGCTAAACAAAAATTATTTTTACTTTTATTTTTCTCCATAAACGTAGATTTTTTAGGTTTTGAAACTTTTCTGAAACCTAATATCTTCCAGAATTGAACAAATTTTGCATGTGTCGTGCAAAAATTGTGCTTTTGTCAATTTTCCCCTTTTTCCGTCACGGTGTCTCTTTATACTTATCTAGACTGTTATAGATAAGTTTAACTTGATTAAGTCTAAACTTTTAATATAACATGTGCTATAGACACTAAAAAGACTTAAATAAAGACCACTATATAATGTAATTCAAGGAAAAATGAAGAGGAAGGAAATAGGGTGGTTTTGTGCCAACCATGCACATGCACCAGTTTAAAAAGGTAAGATTCTTCTGTGTTTATAAAAATGCGCTGATTCATTTATTAAGTAAATTTCCTTACTTCAGTCTCAGTGTTAAGCATGGAATTTTTTATGATAAGTATTTGATAAAATAATGGTGATGTGCTGCGGACAGTGTCATGAAATGCGTATATGAATTTTATCGTAATGGAACTTCCGAAAACTTCATAGGATACAACTGGAAATAAATAAAGTATACAGATACTAAGTATCTACTTTTCCTTTGTTTTCAGTTAGTTTTTGCAAACACTTACACCATAAAGTATTTGGGAGGAACATATTACAGCTACATTGCATTGCAAGAAATTACAACTCATTACCGCTACTTTTAACCAATTTACCACGCTGAATTGAGAGCCCATCCGCCTCCTCCCATCCCTATTGTTGTACTTTCTTCCTATTACATGTAATGATTAATCGATTCACCAAAATAAACCAATGATTCTGAGATTAGCTTGTTGATAAAATATAGAGTTAATACACACTTGATATTGTGTTACTTCCCATCAGTATAAGTATTTGCTAAACAGATTTAATTGTTTCTTTTGTGGTATATGTTCTAAGTTATATCTATGTTGCATTCAATAAAGTTCAGCTCCAGACTCTATAGTTAATTTATTATTTCATTTATTGTGAAAAGGGGGTTGTCGCAGACATTTTGGGTTGTCATTTAACGTTATACATTTCGAGTTAGTCGGGAAGGCTCAAGAAGGTAGTTAAGAAAAAAGGTAGGTGTTATTATCGATGTTAGAAATAACTGATCTCTGTAGTTTTGGCATATGAGGCCTTGTTACTGGTTCTTTTTGTAAATATTAGACGAAAAAAAAAACCCGAAACTTCAGATAAAGTGAGTTTGACATAGTAAAATAATAACAAAAGGTATCCTAATTGTAAATTACATAGAGTGCCCCCTTCTCAGAATCACAGTCATTTTACATTTACGCTTTCAGAGAAAATGCAGTGGCAAACTGTTTATGTGCTATGTACTAATCTCGGACAGAAAAAAATTGAAATCATTGGGGTTAAAAATTCTATCTCAATGTTAAAATATTGCTGTTATATTTTTACTATATATATTTAGAAGAAAAAAAAAACGATATTTTACTGATGTAATTTAAGAAACAGTCTTTTAGCTAATCAAAATCCAGACATTCTGCCAAAGACTAGTTCATATCATTCTATGGTGTGAAACGAATTTTCAAGTTGGCGAGCAAAATTTGGACGCTGGTAACGGAGATAAAATAAAGACAGGTATGCC